GATCTAAAGTACTATGCAATTTATGTAAAATTACGTGGAACTAAAAAAACCAAAGACTGAGCTAGAAAATTACTAAAGTGAACTAAAAAATGCACCACTAGAAAGACTAAACATTTTATAGTTGAGGTAGTTCAGTAACTGGAATTTCCACAAAAATCAGAAAATGATCAACTTTAAAAATTTAAGCTGCAATGGATATTGAAAAACGCTGAATTAGACAGACTGAAATAAAATCGTTTAAACCTGTCCTGCTTGCAATGAACAAGCTGCAGTTGAAATAACACTAACAACTAAACATCTTGAATCAGCAAAAACTGGTCACTTAAAATGTCACTGTTGGTAAATTGAGGTAAAGAGCAGTCAGCAAGAAAATATTTTCATCAACTTTCCAGAGAAACTGCTGAAGCAGAGAGAACGAACCACATTCAACCCTGGAACTGCTGCTGTTTGGAACTATTTGGATCTCCATGACCCAAATTTACTGCTACTGTCCAGAATTTCTAGGGAAGTCTTGGAATCTGAACTCTCCCTTTACAGCACTGATTAGCTGGGCTTGAGAAGTTGATCAACTAAAGCGTTCCCTCTGCTTACATCCTGTAGAATGTGGTGCGATTCTAGGTCGGAGTTTGGTGAATTTATCAACATTCAACCGGACATATTGTTCAATAACCATATCTATCACGATGGATATGGTTATTGTTTTGTTGCCCAGGTCTATTTTCTATATCTGTTCAGCAGCAGTTATGTCCTGTGAAGAGAATCAGACACCAGCCCACAACTACATTAGACCGCTCTGTTGGGACCATCACCTTCTGGCTAATGCTCCATGCAATAATATGTCCCTAGTGGTTCTCTGATTTGTATTGACCTTTTGTAATCATGCACAGAGTCTCAGTTAGTCCGATCTACAATCTTCATAAGTGCTTCTTAGACTTTAGTCAGGATTGTTTGAGCACGGAGCCGTCGATCTATCTTCCCCTCCGCCCTCCAGAGGCCCAGGGTTCAGCGCAACCAGCGTGCCGTCATTATGGGATAGAGATGGCTGTGTTCGATTCAGATCCTCCCTTTTCAAAGCAGGCTTTAGGGGTCTGCTGTCATCTCTTCCTTGCCTTTGGAACTCCAACTTAAGTCCTGTGGTGTGTTCGACTTTCTAGCTGCAGATATGAGTGAGAAGGGATCATGTTGTACTTCACAGGCATGCAATATTTTTTTTACCACCACAGCTTCGTCTGCCTAAAGGTGATTACAGCATGATGCACAATTCTTGAAAGAAGGAGATCCAATGATGACCATTGCTACAGATGTGTATTATGTTAAGTTACACCAGCACAAAATGTGCTAGTGATGCTTTTTTTTTCTGAGCGGTGTTCCCTCAGCGTGTCTCTTCCCTGGCTTTGTCTCTAAAATGGCCACTTGTCTTGGTGTCAAGCTGCTGGTAATCTGAGCCTGGTTGTCATGGCCACTCAGGTAAATAAGGAAGTACAGGAGTTGGGAGGTTTGTTGGAGAGAGGGAAGATGAAGAGCTGGCCGTTCTGCTCACTGTGGAATTTACTTCCTAACCCCCCGCCGTCTATATTTGGAGTAGGAACTTCCTTTCCTGGCTAATGACCTCGTCTTCACAAATACCCAGCATGCAGCGGGTTACTACAGGGCTGAGTCAGCAGTAACCCACAGACACCCAGAGGCTGAATGCATGGCACCTGAATAACTAGGCAACATTTATTGCAATCCAAGCTGTTCTTTGTGTTGCATTTGGCAAATAATTACATAATACATATTGTGCAGCCATACATGCAGTACTGATAATGTGAATGTCAAATTTGGCTAAGTTGTTCTTATAATAAGACGACATTACAAAATGTCAGCTGAGATCTTATTAGTGTGAGCAAATACATCATCAGGATTTATATGCATCTCATGTCGTCACAATAAAAAAAAATCTATAAAACAGTTGTTGGTTGCTGCTTTTCATACTTCCACGCTTCAATGTGCAAACATTTCTGCTGCCAAATCTTGTTACGGTTGCCATGGTGATGGGACACGAGTTCAACCATGTTTGCATCTGTGGGGGCACGCATCCTTGTGCTGGCCTTCCAGGCGGCAGCGCTTTTTCTGTCCGTCTCTCTGTCTGTCTGCTGGGGAACCTTGTTCTCTTGTCAAAACTTGGCCTAGCACTGCGCCAACATTTCCAGGGGAGAATGGAGCTGGTGGAGATCAGAGCAGGGGACCGTCCCCAGTAAATAAAGGCGACGGTGAAGCATCCGTCCCTTGCCTTAGGGTGGAGCAGGGGACGGTGGAGCAGTGGAGCAGGTGTTGGGACATGGTGGAAGGCTCTGCATGTCTCTGAAGGACAGCCACCTATGGCCCTGTGTTGGCGTGTGAACGCTGCAGCAGAGGCGGCTTGTAGACAGTTTGGGTCAGTGTTTCAGCAGCACACAGTCACATCAGCCGAGAGCCAAGTGATTACTCATCCCTCCAGCTGTCTTGGAACACATTGCCCCCTGCTGGTTCTCTTCCTTACTGCAGCGCATGTCTGGAGCTCCAGAAGATCAAGTATGTTTTCTGTACATCCTACCTCTCCTTTTTCCGGTCGGATGCATTAAAAGTGGGCCCTCCCTGCCGTACGCATGTCAGCATGTCATTTTAAACACACTGTTGCACTTTGTTTGATCTTAAAACTTAATTGTCAGCATGACTCAGCGCATGCTAAACAGTTGATGGAGCCCTGTGAATTTTCTTGATACAAGTACTGGGGAACAGTATTTATGAAATGGTAAAGAATGAATTGTCTTTACTGGATCATCTGTCTCTGCAGTCTATCCTAAAGAAGTTTTATTTGAAGCTTTCCATCAATAATTAGACCAAACATTGCAACCTGGTGCAGTTATCTTGTGACTGATTTTCTATTACCTTCCAACTGGTCAGTGGTTGATCATTTTTATAAGCTTGATGTAGGTAAGAGGATTGGAATAAACTCTCCTTGAATTCCTGATAAAATTCTGCTGTGTAAACCATCTGACCATGCAGATTTACATGGTGTTAATCTGCTTGTGTTTTTATTTCTTTTCCCATGATATCTAATGTTTCTGAAGACTCTTCTGTGGAGTTCAGAATATATTCATCAATATATTGATGAATATATTGTTGGTAGTTCCTCCAGAGGTTTAGAATTGAAGGTTTTGTAGAATATCTCAAGTGCTTCTTGGTTTTGATTAAGTTTTTTCTTCTTTTGCTTTTCTCTAATTCTATGGATTTGATTTTCGGCTGTTTTTGTTTTTTAAGCTCCAATGCCATTCGTTTACATGCTAGCAACTCGCTAACCGGCGTTTGTCGGAGCTTTTAGGCTATAAAATATGTGGGAACACCAGCTATCCAACCTTAAATGTGACAATGTTGGTTTACCGCAACCTACAGCCGTTGCAGGAAGGGATGGCAACTTGAAGAACCATATCAGTATGGTATGAGAGATAATCTGTGAAAAATCTATTTCCTCTGCTTTCTCCCAGTGCTATATAGAGACAACCAGTCACTGGCAGGAGAGTTTTAGTGCTGTCAATCACAATCTCAAGTGGCTGCTCATCCCTTCGCTGCAGCTGGCATAGCCTGTCGTGAATGCTCAGGCTAGTTAGCATAGCTACCAGTGATGGCAGATAAACATTTTTTCTGTAATGATATGTTGTTTCACCACCTGGTTCTGATTGGTTGTTTTGGCCGGAACGTGGCATTACTTTCGCTAGCACAATAGCAGCTCAGGGAGGAGGTGCAGGAGATTGATTGCTTTCACAGATTATCTGTCTCATAACAAACTGTCACGACATGGTGACAGCTTTTACAAATATGGAGAAAACATTTTTTACCAAAGTTATGTATTGCAGCTTGAATAAAATGCAACTACATAGCATCATTTGAGAAGTCTGGATTGTTTCTTGTGTATTTTGCATGTTGCCTATGACTGTTGGTTGTGGGGAGAGACATTTCAGTAAGTTGAAACTAATAGAAAAAATGTAAGAGACCTACTTGCATACTGTATGTAGACTGTTGGATGTTAAATTCATGAGCAGTAAATATTGTGCTAGTTATCAGTTTTGGACCAAAAGGCAGTGGCAAGCCTTTAGTATTGTGACGCTTTTGATATGTCAGACTCAAAACATTGTAACAGCAGCTGCGTTTGGGAGGTCAGGGGGGCAATAACGTTTTTTGTCGGGGCCCAAGATTCCTGGCGGCGCCCCTGGTGCTACGTAAACAGCAGTCTGTTTGTTACTAATAGCTTAAGACATTTATTTGAAACTTTACTTGTTGTCCAACAATAGCATTTTAACTTTTCTTAACCTGTTTACTGTGGTTTAAATTATTCTTATAATTAATCTAACATGCTGATATTTGCTAAGGCGCTATGTTTGTCATCAGATAAACATGCTGATGCTAGCATTCTTGCTAACAGCAGCAGGTTTGATAAATACTTTTAGGGCTTTTTTAAAAACATATTGAAGCATTCAGTTGTTTACATCTGGCTTAATTTACTTCAGCAAGAAAGGACTCTACTTTTTGATAGTGAGATTTTGCTAATCATAATCTGGAAGTATGGATTGTTGTAGACTTCTTAGAAATTTAAAACTTTATCTGTTTACAGTCAGTTGTAAATCCAACCAAGTCTTTTATTTTGAAGAGTATCTAATACATTCACGTGCCTTTTAGTGTGGTAACTGTGGCTGGGACGACAGTTTTAATTGACATAAAAAAACGAATAGCCGCAGCAGCACATTGAACGCCTTTGTGAAAGGTAAAAAAAAAAGACTTCATAAAAAAATCGAGTTTTGATCAACACCATAACTGACATGAACCATAAAAGCATTTAGTTCACAGGAAGAGAGTCTATGAAAGATATAGTTGGCTGTACTAATCACAGCTGATTGTTGATATAGTTACAGACATACAGCAGGAGCCAGAAGCCATTTTCTATTTGCTAATCTTTAACAAACCTTTGTGCCCTCCGTCCTCAGCTCCCCCATGACCGTGAGCCGTGGGCTGCGGCTCGACGGCGCCCCCCTTCTGGAGTGGTCCGTTGCTATAAGTTGGACCTCGTGAATCCTCTTCTCATCCTCCTTTCCCCCCATCCCATCCTGTCTCCCCTCTTCCCCTTCTCACCCCCTCCTCCCCCCTCGACCCCCACTCCCACGCGTCGCTGTGCTGGACGTCATGAGCATAGTAATCACTCTGGGAGTCACCACACCTGAAACGTCTTACTCGGATATGGCTGCTGGATCAGAGTAAGTCGACGCCAGCTGATGTCTGTTACTCTTTCAACTTTTTTCACTGGTAAATTGACGACATTCACATAACAACTCCTTTCCAGTCAAAGCGCTTTCATTATTATCTCTCATTTTAAATATTTCATTCCAGTGTTTTGCGGTACTATATTGTGGTAATGATAAAAGTTATAATGAAACCTATTCATTCACTACTTCTTTAGGTACATTTCTGAGTTTGAATGCATGGCACAGCATTCACATCACCACTCTTCTCTTGAAAACCTTCCTAATTGAAACCACATACTGAAAAGATTTCTGCTGCACACCCTAACTGGATCTAATTAGATCCTGACCGACTGACATTTATTGACGCAAATAGCACACAAAATAGGAAAATAACTTTTGTGTTTTGTTTATTTATTTAACACCTTTAAAACATAGCTACAGGTACCGATTGAGAAACCAGGAGCATCATAAAGGCCGGTTCCATTTATTATGCTTCAAAAGCAACTCTAAACAAATAGGTTTTTAGCCTGGATTTAAAGGCTGCTTTGGAGTTTTCTGAAAGTTTGTTCCAGATTTGTGGTGCTTAGAAGCTGAAAGAAGCTCCATGTTTGATTGTGGAATAAATCAAATCAAGAAAATGTTTACTTATGTTTGCTAATTCTTAATGGACAGTGAATAGAGTGAGTTGTCTTAAGTTTGTTTAGCAGACTGGTTCTGGCCAGGTTCCAGACTGGTTCTGACCAGGTTCCAGACTGGTTCTGGCCAGGTTCCAGACTGGTTCTGACCAGGTTCCAGACTGGTTCTGGCCAGGTTCCAGACTGGTTCTGACCTGGTTCCAGACTGGTTCTGACTTGGTTCCAGACTGGTTCTGGCCAGGTTCCAGACTGGTTCCAGACTGGTTCTGGCCCGGGCTCAGCCCCCTCCTTATCTCTGGTTACCACGGTGACTCCCCCCCCCCCTTGCTGGGATTTGATGCAACACTCTTTCATCTGGTTTCCTTCAACCTGTGGACTGGCTGCAGAGTCAGAATGAAGAAGAGCTCTGGTGCCATCTAGTGGCAACGTCCCACAATTAATCAGCCGTGGGAAAGCCAGCCATAAAATTCTGTGTTAGTGTGTGTGTTTGTGTGTGTGTTGACTTGTTTCACTTGACGAAGTTTGTTTGTGTTTTCAGCCCTGAGTCAGTTGAAGCAAGCCCTGCAGTGAATGAGAAGAACTACAACAACCACAGCTGTGGTAGTGCACAGAATCATGGGTATCGGGGACTCCCATATGCTGTGAGTTCAGACAGCTTCTTCCTCATCTGCAGCTCTGATCGTAGCACGTCTTGTAGTTTATTGTATTACTCTTTCTTAATGAGAAGGCTGCAATTGTGATGACTTGAGATTGTAAATAAGAACTAATGGATTCTGCCTCAGCCTTTCTATTTTTTCCTAATCTTTTTTCCGTTTACTTGGTCTGTTAAGATGCTGTTGTCAGAGTGAAACTGTAGGCCGCTAATGCATCCACTTGAAGTGAAATAGTCCTTCCTGCTGTTAGCCTGCCGTACCCACAGACTGCTTCTGTTATTAACAGCTGTTACTGTTTTCACATACCTGGTATTTTGCCCTCATTTTCATTTGTCTCCATTTTCCGTTTCCCTTTTTTTTTTTGTTGCCTGAACACCCCCGTTGTTTGAAGATGCAACAGTCTTCCGTTGTATGTTGTCAGGATCACAACTATGGCGCGCCCCCTCCCCCTACCCCACCCGCCTCTCCGCTTTCCCAAACCATCATTCCCCGCATGGACCTCAACGGCATGGTCCGCAGCTCCCATTACCACGAACCCCGGGCCGAGCACTCTGCCGACAGCGACAGCTCCTCCGAAGAGGACGCGGCCGTGAGCAGCTGGTGCCGCTGCAGCCCCACGCCAGACGGCACGCACCTCAAATGCACCTGCAGGTTAGCGCCCGGCCCGACTGCCGGAACCGGCCGGCTGAGGCCCAGACGCAGTCGCACGTTTCCCCAAACAGCTTTCGGCCCGCACTGACCCACTGTCTTTGCAGGGAGCTGGACAGGAGGAAAGGAGTAGAGGGCGCCCACAGAAAGCAAGAGAATGTTTCAGGTACACTTCAAGTGGTAACAACCCTTTATGTGAAGAGGTGTGCATAAGACTGACAGGAACATGACATAAAACCCATTATGAACATGTAGGGATGTCAACAAATGTTTATTATTGTCGTCAAGAAGTGTCATTTGGTAAGTAATCACACTGTTAAAGCAGAGTTGCAGTAAAAGTGTAAACTCCGCATTAAAAGTGTCATTATTTACTGAATGACACATCATGAAAACAAACATTCACGGAGACTCCTTCACGTCATTGACAGGTGTCATGTCAGTCTTATTCACATACCTTCAAATAAAGATTTATTGTCGGCGGAATCCAAAACATTTTCAACCGTGTGCGACAGAAACAAAACAAACTTTGTTTTGTTTCAGCTGGAGAGAGCAGTGCGACAGAAAGTGGTGATGAAGAGGTTTCTCCCTCCACCGTCTCCTACACTGCTACCCAGCACACCCCTACCAGCATCAAACTGACCGTCAACCGGGTCAAGAGGAGCAAATCCAAGAAAAGGAAGAAGAGCACGGAGCGAGGCCGCGGAACGCCCAAGCCAAAGAAAGTCAAGGTGTGTGTATGAGTGAGTGTGTAAGCCGCAGCGGCAGCGAGATCGAGACGAGCGCACATCGGATCCTGCCGCCTGTATTCTGTGTCTGGACAACAGCAATTTACAGACTTTTTAGACGGCATATCCAAAATGTATTAAACATAACATTATGTAAAACAGTACAACATAATGTTGACTACATATACAAAATGATACAAATGAAGTGAAAAAATATGAAAACATGACAATAAAAAATAAATAGTCTACATGTATATTTTGTTGCATTGCTTGGAAAAGTTGAGGAACCGAAAACAATGGCACACCACACCTTTCAGACTTTTGATTTTTTTTTTTTCTTTTCCTCCCACTTTGCAATTAACGACGACTCTGTTGGTCCATCGCATGAAGTCATAAATAAAATCTAGTCAGCTGATGGTTTCATCATGGCAGCGGGAGAAGCCTGGTTTGATAACGTTGTTTCTAACTGTTGCCGCCTCGGCTTCTCGTTCCAGGCTTTCAGACAGGGTTCAAGGAAATCCATGAGGATGAAGGTGAGTGTTGCATTCGTCCCACACGTCCTGTTTTCCCTCCCGCGCAGCTGGAAGCGCCTGGTGACTCCCTGTTTGCTCTCGCGCAGAACTCCACGTCTGAGGCCAGCGTGCTGGACGAGAACACGGCCGAGGGATGGGAGAGCCGCATCCGCCAGTGGACGGACCAGTACGAGGAGGCCCTCTCCAACCAGTACAGCGCCGACATCCAGACGCTGCTGGAGCTGCACCGCTCCGCCTGCGCCTCCGTCTCCAAGGCCGAGAGCGGCGCCTCCACGCCGCCCTCCGACACGCAGACGCAGGCGTGCGTGAACGGCCTGGACACCATCAACCGCACAGAGCTGGCCTGCAACAACACGGTGCTGGGCTCCCAGATGCAGGTCCGCTCACGCCCTGCTCCTGTGCCCCCTGCTGGGGGTCAGAGGGGGCACGCGAGAGTTTGGCGAAAATGCCAGCCAAGTGTGCTGCAGCTCCGCTCTGTTTTGTGTTGCAGCTCCAGCTGGGGCGGGTCACCAGGGTCCAGAAGCACAGGAAGATCCTGCGTGCGGCCAGGAACCTGGAGGCGGACACGCTCATCATCGAGTATCGGGGGAAGGTCATGCTCCGACAGCAGTTTGAAGTCAACGGGCATTTCTTTAAAAAGTGAGCCGTCGCCAGCCGGCCGCAGCTGTTCTGCGCTGCCGTGGCACGTTCTGCTCTCACTGACCCTTATCGTCCTCCAGGCCTTACCCCTTCGTCTTGTTCTACTCCAAATTCAATGACGTGGAGATGTGCGTTGACGCGAGGACATTCGGAAACGATGCGCGCTTCATCAGGAGGTCCTGCACCCCGAATGCTGAGGTCAGCCTTTTTCCATGTTGTTTTTTTTTTTTTTTCACATTAAAGCTTTTATTCAGAAGCATTTTCTCTTCCTCCAAGGTCCGACACATGATCGCCGAGGGGATGATTCACCTGTGCATCTACGCCGTCAGCCAGATCGCCAAGGACGCCGAGGTCACCATTGGCTTTGACTACGAGTTCAGCAGCTGGTGAGTCGTGCTCATCGGCGGTTTTCATGGTCGCGGCTGGGCGTTTGTAACCCGTTCTCCTGATCGCCCTGCAGTAATTATAAAGTGGACTGCGCCTGCCATAAAGGCAACCAGAACTGTCCCGTGCAGAAGCACAACCTGAGCCCCATGGAAAGCTTCCTGAACCCGGCCGCTCTCGCTCTTCCCTCTCCCGCTGTCGGCACGGAGACGCGGCGCAGGAAAGCCCAAAGGAAGGAGCTGGAGAGCTGCCTGGCCAGCAACGGCACGCTGACCCCCGACCAGCAGCAAGAGGGCAGGGACCTGCAGGGAGTCAGCGACACAGAGGTGGGCTTTTAGCTCTGGCTCTTTGTCTGGATCACCAAGAGAAGCTGAAGTGTCATGGAGTAAATGTGTTGATGTGTGTTAATGTGTTGATGTGTTGATGTGTGTTAATGTGTTGATGTGTGTTAATGTGTTGATGTGTGTTAATGTGTTGATGTGTGTTAATGTGTTGATGTGTGTTGATGTGTGTTAATGTGTTGATGTGTGTTAATGTGTTGATGTGTTGATGTGTGTTAATGTGTTGCCATAGGAGAGAACGCTGACTGAGGTCAAAGCAGAAGACGGAGAAGTGGATGAAAATGGGATCGGCTGTGGTAAAAGAGTACGAGATTTTCATCTGTTTTCCCACCATTTCTGCTTCATCTGCATGTTTCCCCCAGAAAACCTCATAAACCCAGTGATTTAGAGGTGCTGACATCATAATTTCAAAATAATATGGTGAGGCCAAAGGGCCGGTGATGCAGACCCCTTGCGCCCAGTTAAATTTGTCAACTGTTAAACTTGCTAATCCATCTTTACTGTTGCCTATTTTAAAATAAACAAGCATCTCTTAACCTGGTGGGAGAGGCACGTGTAGCCTGTTGTCCCTCCAGGTTTATAATGCGCTGGGGGAAACCCTGTATCTAGTCTGCTGACACAACAGGGTTGCTGGGGAGCGACTGTGGCGCCGGCGGTAAATCGGCGGATCGCTGCTTCAATTCTTGGTCCTTCAACCCTCATCATTTGTCCCCGGCAAGATGTTTCAGACTACCCCAGAGCAGCTCTGCCTACAACCCAGTAGCTTGGCCTTTGAGTTTTCAATTTGAGATATAAAGGCCATTATATTTATATGTATTAGTCTGAAAGGAGCCCGCATGTCCCAGGCCAGTTCTTAAAACGTTTCAGAAGCTGGATCGCTTGGTTCTGAAAGCTGCTTCTCTCCGTCTGAAGGCTCAAACCAGGCGAAGAGCGACAGGAGCTGAAGTTAAGGACGAGGCCGGGGACACTGAGGACAGGACGGGAAACCCTCCAGAGACGCCTTCTGTCCCACTCAGCTCTGGAGTGGGAGTCAGCACACGCCGGACCACCTACTTCACCGTGAGAACAAAGAAGCAGCCACTGTCTGAATCCCGTCAAGTGCAATCGTCGTGGTGACAGGTTTAACATTTTGTCTTTCCACCTTCCCTTACAGGAGAACCCTCCTGGTGAGGACAAGCCACCAGCAGCCACCCTCCCTGCCCCGCCCGCTCCCCCTAAACCCACCAGGCCCGCCAAGCCCCGACCCAAGAGCCGGATTTCTCGCTACCGTTCGAGCTCGTCGCAGCGCGCTCGGCGCCAGCGTCAGGCCCTGGCCCAGCAGCAGGCGGCGGCGGCGGCTGCAGCAGCAGCGATGTCCTCGGCGCAGGCGGTGGCTGACCCGGGGGCCGCTCTGCACGATGAAGGGTCTCAGAGCCAATATGGGGCCGAACACGGCCACGGAGACGGCGGTCAGGGAGCTTATCTCCTGGATGGAGACGCCCAGGGTCCCAACAGCATACACAAAGGCAGTGTGCGCTACCCCAAGACAAAGAAGGTGAGGCTACGTGAGCATGACACTTATCAAAACCGCTCAGACGTCTCTGTCACAGCGTTTGAGGTCTTCTCTGCCTGACCAGCTAAGCAGTCATTTGTCTCTCATCAGTACCTCGTCACGGAGTGGTTGAATGACAAAGTCCCTGGAGGGGAAAAGCTTCAGCAGGAGGTGCCTGTTGAGCGGCCCCTGCGGATAACCACAGACCCCACAGTGTTGGCCACCACCCTCAACATGCTGCCGGGCCTGTCCCACTCATCACTCATCTGCACAGCCCCCAGACACTACGTCCGATTCGGCTCTCCGTTCACCCCCGAGAGGCGCCGACCCCGCCCGCTGCAGATGGATGGCACCTATGGCTGCTACAAAAAGGTCAGATGACCTTAGCAGTCCAGGGAGCTCACCTATAGGCTCCTTAGCTTCAGTTGTTACAGCTGGAAACTAGAGATCAGGCCTGAAATCAGGGTGTGGAGGTGAACCTTTAAAAATGTGAAAGGGCTAAAATCTAAAATGTATTTTTCCAGTTTCTCACGGTGGATTTAGAAAGTGTTCATTAGCCTTCATTAGTTCATGTACCCGCCTCTTGCTTTCTTCTCCTCGCCCCATTGTCTAAATCAGTAGCTGATGACATCTCACACCATCCCATCGGCATCAGTCTCTGTTCCGCTTCATATTTATAAAACTAGAAGTTGACACGTGGGTGGTGTTGTCGCCTTGCAGAGATGGATCAAACAGGTGGAGGATGAAAGCTGTTCTAACAGTGTGGAGGACGGAACGGAGTCCACCTCCTCCCAGCAGAGCACCAGCAGCCGCTCCACCCCCAACCCGCTCTGCAGCGGTAGGTCACAGCCGCCTCTTGACTCCCACACCCACTTCTTCTTGTGGAGCTACGAATATGAACCATGTGTGCATGTCGTCCTATTTCTTTAAACCAGATATCGGTGCACCGTTTAAAAAGCGGCATCACAAGTACGCAGCTGAGACCACGCCAGCGTCCTCGGACCACCTGCTACGCCCTCTCTCACCGATTACGCCGCCACTTCCTGAAGACTCTCTCCACCCGCTGCTCCACCCGCCGTGTGGCTCTGTGCTGCCCAACGGCCTGGTCTACTCCCCGATGCCCTCGCAACCCACGAGCCGCTGCAACACACCGCTTCAGTTCGAAGTAAGAGTCCCAACAGCCCGGAGTATCTCACAAGGCTGGTCGGCCATCTTGTAGCGAACAAGTCATTTGTGATTCTCGGTGTCACTTCTGTAAAGGTTGCAGTAACTTCTTCCAAACTAGAGCCATAGAAATCTGCGGTAATATTTTTACTGGGCTTCCTCCTGAGAGTGGTTATGTCATATGGTGATGTCACACAGTGTGTGTGAGAGAGAGAGCTTTGAATCTTCTTCCCTCAGTAACAACTTCCACAATGAAGAGTTATTTGCTACGGTGCATTTAGAAAGACTGGATTGTTGATTTTTGCAACTGGCCAAAGTGAGGGTTGATGAAGCTGTAAATGGGAAGAGCGGAGGATTTGTCCATGCGTCACTGCATGTCGTTAGGATGCAGATCAGTGTTTTGTGCTCATCACATTAAATAAACATCTCATCTAGAATGAGCAGGAATGCTGAACTTCAACCAAAGAGTTTTGTTGGATCCTGTTGTAATGTAGCCTTTCTCTTTGACTGTAGGACATATCGTCCTCTGAGGCATCGCCTGTACACCGGCCTGAGTCCATCTCTCCAGAAGTATGTCCGCATGTCTTTACTCCAAAAACAGCTGATTTAGTTCTTCATCTTTTAATCAGCTTTATCCTCTTTGTCTTTTATTTTACTTCCACGCCACATCTGCTCTACGTCTCGTCTCCTCCCCAGCCGTCTCTTCAGGCTGACTTTGATGCTTCTCGACCTCCATTTCTGGACCTGTCCCTCCCGTCCAGCCTGGAGAGCCCCAGGGCGGTGACCTCTGATGACTTTCCCGGGGCCGCTTCAGGCCAAGACTCCCAAGGCCAGTCGTCCGCGGGCGGCGTCTCCCTGAACCTGCCGTCGTGCTCTTCCTCGGACTCCAAAAGCAGGGAGAAGGCCTTCAGGACAGAGTTCAACCTCATTTACACCTGCTCCCCCCTCAACGCGAACCTGGGGAATCCCCTGAGCTCGGAGCGCCACCATTCCCAGGTGGACGGAGCTTTCTCTCCCGCAGATTCCTTCCACAGTTCGCTCAGTGGACAGGCCCTGATCGGAGACGTGGCCTCCGGCTCGCTGTCTCCTTTTGGGGAGAGCCATTACGGAGCGGCCTACCCAGACACGAGCACCTCGCCTCACACCAGCAACCCCCCGCAGAAAAAGAAGGCAAGTCCTCCACTCCTCAGTGATGGGAGCTGCAAATGTTTTGAGCATTGGTCATTAAATGTTTTAGACGTCACGAGCTGCTCCCACCTGGCTCACCAGTTCAAGTGGCTTTTTCTTGCGGAAGGAACGTCTGTCCGTTTAGATGGAACCTTTTCTAGTTACATGTGTGTATCTGAATCTCTTTAGATCTGCCCTTGCTCCCTGTCCCTCCTCCTCTTCTTCCTCCTCCTTCCTCAGCCACCCCTCACCCGATGCTCCTTGACACTCTTTGCCAAGTCTCTCTTCCGCTTTTCTTCCAAGGCAGAGGGCCAACCAGCATACCATTAGTCTGCTGACAGGAAAGGCAGAATACCAGCCTATAGCTGTAAGAAGTGAAAACAAGCCAGTACATAATATGGTGAATATGCTCCCTACAACTACATCTTTAGAAGTGTGCATGTAAATATATATTTTTTTTTTGTTTGGGTTTTTATTTTTTTGCATCTGCATACAGCACCCTTCCTCCCCACCCCCCATGCTCTGACCGCTTTGCCCCGCCCCTCCTCCAGACATTCAGCTATGAGCCTCCGGCTCCCCAACAACTTCAGAGCTCAATCCATCTCTGTCCGATCCATCTACATGTGGAGAGGTTCATCCATTGCCACCAGGCCAGTGGTTCATGGATTGTCATAATGGTGTCAGAGTGAAGCCAGTGTGTGCTTGCTCCATAACAACCATGGCTCTTTCTCAGCTGTAGCTACTGTGTCAAACTGTGTCAGATACTGCGTCGCTGTGGCGGAGTGGGCACGCGGCATGAGCTCTGCCAGTGATGCTACCGCTCAGTTCAAATCATCTCTGGTTGAAATCAAACCAACCAGGAATTATGTTGAGCCGATGACATAGGTCAGTCATGGGTGGCTAGATGTTCAAGAGGTTATGTTTTACCTCAGTAGATCATTTTCTTCCAAGTTCAAAATCAGTATCAACCACATTGTCTCTTATTTTATCAGCTTAAAACCAGAAACTTCAATGTGTTTTATTGGGAATTTATGAGACGGACCTCAGCCAGTGTTCAAAAAGATACTCGAATTCAACAAAATTGTGTTGCTTTTATATTTGTGATGTCAGTCAATTTAAAAACACATTTAATCAGATTTATCACTGTGCCTAATTTAGCAAGCTTGAAATATAAATATGCAGGAAATTGTGAAGCCCCTCCTGTCACACTCCAACCATTTATTTATTTATTTTTTGCAGTAGACCTTGTTCAGGGGACAACTGACAGATGAGATTTTCTTTTCTAGTTTTTGGATGCCTCACCCCTTTCTGATGCCGCCCTGGGCAACTGCCCATAAATCCCACATCAGAAACTGCCACTGTATGCATGTTGTCAAAAAATCCAAATGTTTTATCGTGTCAAACCGAGCAGATTGGCAGTTTTACACATTTTTATATACAGGAAGGTTAAAATCAGGTGCTTCTGTTTTACACATTAATTTTGAAAGCTCCCTCTCCATTTACTTCTGATGGACCGTGTGCGATGAGGCGGCAGTCGCTCGTCACTCCCGCACGAAGCTGTGAACTGGGTAACCACCCAAGGCTTTTAGGTCAAAATAGGCCGTTTGAATAATCTACGTTATATAATATTGAAGCATTAAAATGTTCCGATTAATCGCATCCATTAACATTGACTGCCCTAATTTATATATATATTTTATCTGTATTCTGCCCCATTTACTCTGTTGCCGCTAAATTAAATCCAGTGCATAAGAAGTCTTCTAAGTTATAAACAGGTTCCATCCAAGTATTAAACTACTGTGTTGTATGGAGGCCTCAGAGGTTCTTTAGAGAACAACCATTATAATGGAGACCAAAGAACTCAGCGGCAGGTCAGGGGTCAAGTTTAAAGCAGGATCAGGTTCTATATCAACATCCTAGCGCTCTGATCATCCATCATCTGGACATGGAGAGAGAACAGACCACCTACAAACGTGAACATCCACCTGGACTGACAGGAGAACATTAATCAGAGCAGCAAGCAAGAGGCCCACATCTCTGGATGAGCTGCAGATCCACAGGCCTCGCAGCCAACATGCAAAACAATGCACAGAAGAAGGCCAAAATGCAAACAAAAGGTTGCGTAACTTAGAACTAGATCTACACTACCCACCCAAAAACTTCCCAATGTGAGCCGTGACGGTGCTAGCATCATGCCCTGGGAAGCACATTTGTGTTAAGAGTCCAGAGCGAAATCCATTTAACTGGCAGACAGGAAGAGGGTTCTTTTTTTTTTCAGCAACAATCCATCTTTTGCTGGGGCCTCATTTAGGACGAAAACATGAAAAATGTAAAAATTGTCGTTTGCTCTTGAACCTCACTGGTCTTATCTAGCCGCTTGTCTGTATAAACCAAGGGTGCTCAAATCCAGTCCTCGAGAGCTATTGTCCTGCAGCTTTTAGATGCACCCCTACTCCAACAGACCAGAATCCGATCTGAACAGACCTGCTAACGAGCCATTCATTTGATTCAGGTGATTTGGAGCAGGGAAGCATCTAAAAGTTGCAGGATGGTAGCTCTCGAGGACTGGACTTGAGCACCCCTGGTATAAACTGTGTAAAGCCACTTAACACCGAAAACTGTTCATAACCAAAAAAACGATAGTAAAGCTAAGACAAAAACCCAGAGCAATAAACGCATCACACAGTGGCATTAGGCCACTAGTGTCCCTGGCCTGCTCTAGAATCACTGCCAACAATAGCTGAGCACACAAAGTAAAGGTTTGTACTGTAAATGTAACATCCGATAGGAACCACACCAGAGGAACTCAGCAGTCAGCAGGAGTATCCAGGCTGTTTCCAGGAGCCTCCAACAGTTGGTCAAAACACACATTAGACAACAGGACCAACACTGGCTGGTTTGATGAGAAACAGTTTGGCCCACTTTACAGTAAGCTCTACAGGAGGCTCTACCATTGACCCTACAGTGGACCACACAGTTAACCCTAAAGTGGGCCCTACAGTGATCTGTACAATGGACCCTGGTTGTACAGTGGATCATAGAGTGGACCATGGAGCTCGCTATATAGCTGGCTCCACAGTAGAGTGTTTCCTAGCAACCAGTCAGCCTCAGTACCTGCATGCCAAATCCTAAAGGTGTCCCGACATATTTCATCCGAACTGCCAAAATCGGTTCTCACTGATGTGGACGTGTGATGAAAATGTTTTGTTTGCAGAGAGGCATCCACCTGCTGAACTCCAGGCCCTAGTCAAACTTTTTCTGTTCAAAGTGTTATCTGATTGGTCAGAAGTTCATTGCTGTTCTTTATGCAGAAATGCGGTGAGAAGGATGAAGTGTGTTGGGGCCTTAGTGGTCTGGTAATGTGACGATCTGGAAGCAGAGTAGGAGCTGTGTCCACTTTTGCATCACTTAAAGGAAGATTGTGATTCAAAAAAATAAAAACAAAGTCCCGCCACTGCTGCTGTGTGAGTTGAGGCTTACTAAACACTTTTGCAACTGATGAGAGCATAATGGCTGCTGTTGGTGTTCTGTGGTTCCTCTTGACTTCCACTGCTCCTGCTCAGACTTCGCTGGTTCTCAAGGCATAAAATTCAACTTCAGACAAGAGCCATCCATGTCAGTGTCTGACCATCCCACTCGCTCCTGATCCTCTCGTTTGTTTGTCGTGTTTGCTGATGACATCCAGTTGGGATGAGTCTTCTCGTTGTAAAGATGTGTGCGTGCCTGAACCCCTTGTGAACGTTGACATGTGTGTTTTTTGTGGAGTTTTTTGAGCGTGGTTGCATCATGCCGTGGTGCGTCTCGTGTTGCTTGCGTTCTGAGCCGAGGGGTGGTGATGTCCAGTCATTCAGAAACCGGGCCAGAACAAGGGTGCACAGTGGATCCCGACGGTCATTGAACGGGGTTTGAAAACCTTTCTGTCAGACTGGAGCCCTGAGCCATGCTGCATGTGGCCTGTCATCACGCAACATCGCAGTCTGGGTGAATCATGGGATGGATTTTGGCGGCCTGGCATCAAACACAACAATGAGGGTTGACGTAGCAGCGGCAAGTGTTGACCAGAGTGCCCTACTTCCCTCTGCCGCTCAGGTGTCTCTGCTGGAGTACCGGAAGAGAAAGCAAGGAAGCAGCAGCAGCAGAGCATGTGAACCAGCACCCAGGAACGCCCCCCACTCAGCCGGACCCTTACTGCAGCAAGGAAACCCACCCAGCCCGCTCCTACCAGCAGATGCACCCCCCTTCTTCCCCACACTCCACAGCTCCGGTCCCACACCTGGAGGAGGTCAGCCCGCCGGACCACCACAGGGCGCCGCTCAAGCCCAGGAGGCAGGAGTGCAGCAACCAGTGGTGAGAGTGGCTACGCTTCCTGTTTCTCTCTGGTCAGTGCTGAGGAAGCACCCCTCTGACAGCTTCCTGCTCCTCCGTAGGATGGTCCCCACCACGGTGGAGCGCCTGAGGGAGGGCCAGCGCGTGCTCAGAGGCATCAAGATGGATCGGGTCTACAGACGGAGTGACGGATCAGCAGACGCAGAGCCAGGTACGGCAGCAGTTTCGGGGTTCAGGTCAGTGGAAGAAACAAACTGGACCGGGCTGTGACTCTCCCATTTCGGTCTCCAGATGCGGAGCGATACGAGCGGAGAGGAGGAGCCCTGGCTACTTCCGCCAAGAGCCCCCACAGATACAGCCCCCCCCTCTACGCACAGCAGGTAGGACCAGCAGCAGCACTCACCAAAACCATTAATTGGTTTAAATTTCTTATTTCACCTTGGTTCGTTTTGAACAAGTGGAGGTTCTTCGATAAGTGGAAAGTCAAAGTTCCTAATTCCGAAGTATTCACATTGCTGGAAGATTGAAATTTAAAATGATTTTCATTCTAACAAGATATTAATTTTCTTATCTTTCAAATGACAATAAAACAACATGTATATTGTGTGTATTATGAAGAAACAGCAGCTGGGAAACCCTCTCAGCAACCAGTGGGAAGATCTGCTGCCATCAGAGGCCTTTTGTGGTTTCTGAGCATCTTTCTGCTTTTTCCACTGATAACATGCAGCCCCTATCCCCTGTCCCCTGTCCTCTGTCCTCTATTCAGTCAGCAGAAGTCCTCCCAGAGACAGACGGCCCGTCCTTCACCCATCCCACAGCCAGCTCTCCGTTCCAGAGCTCCTCCACCCAGAGCTTCTACTCTCGCATCTCCTCCTCCCACCCGGGGCCGTCCCAGGATGCCCAGAGCTCCTACTGCAGCCCCTCCCCCACGCAGCCCGGCAGCGAAGGACCCCCCAGCTACAGCAGCAGCCATTTAAAGACAGGCTTCCTCAGCAGCAGCAGCAGCCTGTTGGAGGGGGCCGCTCCAGGCCCACGGACCCAGGGACAGACAAAGGTAGACGTGGGCCCTCAGGCCTCCAGAGGGGGTCAACAACAGGCTGTCAGCCTGAAGGTGAACAGCCCGGGGCAGGCGGGGCAGCCGGCCGGCTCCAGGCTAGCAGGCCGCTCCCCGCATTACCCCCAGCAGTTCCAGCACCCTCCCCACCAGGGGCCTGGAGTAAGGACACAGTCAGGAAGCTTCTAGGACCTTCTTCAGCTGTGTGTGGGTGCGTGTGTGTGTGTGCGTGCGTGTGAAGCTGAAGGCCCCCTGGGGGTTCAGGGAGCTGGAGGGGCCACATGTACAGACCTGAGAGGAGCCAGCCAGGACTGTGGACAGATTCCTCCTTTTCCTGTGTTCTGTTTTTTTTCCTTCTTCATTTTCAGGAAAAGAACTTGACAGCGTGGTCATAGATAAACCTCTGACTCCTGGCTGTCAGGACGGAGGGAGACGGGAAGCAAGCAGCCTGGAAAACACGGGAAACCAGTTTGAAAACTCCCAATTATCCCAGAACTTTTCTACTGTTCTTCTTCTTCTTTTTCACAAAAGGAAAAATATTCCACATTGATGTCTGCATAGAATGCTAAGTTAGCCTTCCGGTTGTGGTAACCAGGTTGGTCATATGCTGACATACGTATTTGGCGAAAACCGACAGATGTTTCGTTTTTTTCTCGGTTTACTCAGAGGACTGGGGGTGATGACAGGCAGGTGGGGGCGGGGTGTTCTCCAGGATCATTCCAGAAGCGTTCTTCATCATGTGAGCGGCGTTGTGCTGGGAGCTCTGCTCCTCCGCCCAGCTGCATCTCCATCCTCCCCCTCCCTCCTTTCCCCTCATTCATGGTGCTGCCGACCTTTTTCCTCTCACCAACATCTGATCCGATCGGGCCCACCACCACCGTATCAGCTCTCCATCCGTCTGGAGTTATCCCGCTCGGGAGCAAAGGGATCGTTGCTGGAGAGACGCCTGGATTTCTCCGACCAATCTTTGCATTCCATGTGACAGAGAGCAGAGCAAGTTCACTGCCAGAGGAGATGGAGCTGCTGCTGCTGACGGTGGCAGCAGCCACCTGGTGGTGACCGCTGCAGCTGCACTTTCTGTGGGTCTCTCTCTCTCTTTCTTTCTTTCTCTCTCTGTCTGCTGCTTTATTTGTTCCATTTTTTTTCTCTATTCTTAAACAACTGAGGTGTAAAAAGAGACAGTTTTCTGCAGCGCTCAGACTGAGGTGGAGGAGACCTATGAATGCCCCCCCCCCACTCTCTTTATGTGACTGGAGTTCAGGGCCTGAAGTGGCCGTGGGTTGTGGGGTGGGGGGACTGTATTTGTGGGAAAGATTTGAATGACTGAGGAAAGGAGGAAGCCCCCCCACACCCCTCTCCACCCGCCGGCCACTACAACCCCCTCCCACCCCGAGACCCCCCCCCCCTCCCCAGCAGATTCCATGAATGTGTGACAGAACAGCAACGTGAACGTTGCCAGCTAACACGAAGCAGCACCTTAAAAACACATCCACCCTGAAAGCACCCAGCAGCAGGACTCTGTGTGATTCTGTGTACCTGTATAGAGAGAATGTGATAGAGCTGTATGGAGAGAGGATCTAGTACACTGAATTCCCGGTGTGGTATCAGTAGAGTCTGACTGAGCATCCCAGGTCAGACGCTTTGGAGATCTGACTTCCTGGGTTCCTTCAGACGCCACTTTCTATCTCCTGTTGTTTTTCTAAGAAGTTTTCTGTTGTTTTTTTCTTCTTCGTTTTTTGTTTTTTTTTTTCCACAGATCATAGTAGAAACTATTTCAATTGTTCTCTAAGAGATTTAAGAAGCAACAGATGTAATGCATTTTGATAATAAAATCATCATAACAGCAAAGTATTTTGGAAACCAGCCTTGTCATTGTCATGTTTAGGAGGTTATTCCACAGCTTTGTAAGCTGTCGACTTCTTTTCCTTTATGGTACACAAACTTAAAAACAAAATACTTAAAAGTAGATGGAAGAACATATCTGGTGTCAAAGGGGTGGCTTCCCATTGTTTTAAAGAGGTTCTGATAAAATAATTCAATCAGTTGTTTTACCAGCAGTCGATGGACAGTGAGTGTTTACATGGAAAATTAAGCTGGAAGGACTTTTACGTTTCTGTTATAAAATAGCGTTTGTAGAAACGGTTGATATTTTTGAGACCGGAAGACCATTAAGAAGGTAAAAGGTTTGGCTTCCTTCCACTCATCTGGATTGACGCTGAGAGTTTTATTCTGTCACTCATAATGTAAAAAGGCATTTTCACCCTCAGTCCAGTCAATTAAAACTCTTAAGAGCCACTAATGCTACATTAACTTTCTGGGGGGGGGGGGATTTTATTAACCGAAGCTGGGTTTTACTGCTGTACAGGTTTTTTTTTTTTTTTCTTTTTATTCATAACGCAATTAATACCAAACATGTCAACCTATTTCACAATCCTGGAGAATGTTTGGTACAGCATACACTAATTATTTTTATAGTATGAACACTTCAGGAAAAATTTAACAAAAGATTTAGATTTTTTAAATATTTTGTCTTGAATAGGCTCACATCTATCCATGGCTTTTAATCAAAGTGGATGTTTGCTGCACCCAAATCTGCTTCATTTACTAAACTACTAAATACAGAAAGTGTTATCCAAGTCTCTAAGGGCAGTTTTATATATTTTTTGATAAAGTCCAAACAAATTGCCAACTAGATGTCATTCTTAAGAGAAATGTATAAACGCAGTGCAGAGATGAAACGGACAAGTTTAAAAAAAAATTGCCACCACATCCTTCATAATTTATAACTAAAGGACAAAGACATTCAAGCTTATGATATAAAACCCTAACACAGTGTCAAACTCCAGTCCTCAAGGGCCACAAAACCCTGGAATGAAATGGCTTAATTACATCCTTGTTGTGTTGCAGCCTAATGACCCAATTATTTCATTCAGGTGTGGTGCAGCAGAGGCACACCTAAAAGTTGCAGGGCAGGCACACCTGTGCACCAGTAGGTGGCGGTAGGGCGCCACAACGTTGTTTGCCAGGGTGATCGTCACGTGATTCAGTCAACTTCCTGTTTATCACTTGTTTTGTGCAACTCAGAGCGCTGGACTGTCCTGTTGGACCTGTCGGTCACATTAACTGCTGCCGCGTTCATTTCTTCTCAGAACTATTGAACCTGGTCCCGTTCGTCGTCATGGTGACGCTCCACTGAGCGAGCCTGGCAGGATCCTGGAGATTTCCTGATTTCAAGTTCGGAGAGGAGCCCAGAAGGAACGGTGCGCGTTTTGCACAGGAATAGAAACCGGACCAGAACCATCAGCGTCGGTGTGCTGAACTGGCTCCCGCCGCAACACCGCTAGCTCTGTAGCCGCGCGGCTAAGTCCCGGGACCACCGGCAAGTCGCCGCCCAGCGGCCCGACAGCGGCTCGTGTCTTCCTGGGGTGGAGCTGCTCACCGCTGCCGTGAATTCAGGACGACCGCCCGGCTCTGGCCCCCTTAAGCGGGCAGTCAGGAAGAAGCTCGCCGGGAAGGGATGGCCAGGTCGGTCTTCCCGTTCCACAAGACAGGGCTCTGCGGTCTTTGAAGGCGGACAAGTGCGGCTGGAGGCGACCACCGCGGTTCGAGACGCCATGATGGCCGCCTCCCCCTCCGCGGCCGGCGGGTTTACGGTTTCCGGCGTGTCGGTGAGAAAGAGCGAGCAGATAGTGGACCTGATCGATCTGTTCTCCAAGACCCAGTATCGAGCAAAGGAAGTCAGTCCTCGGGTAAGATGTGTTCCGATGTCCAGTCATTAGGTGCATTTACCTGAGTGGCATTTTTGAAATAAACAAAGCACAACTTTTTGGAGGATTTTAAAACATTTTTACCATTTTTACTTGTATTTGAGTCATTTTATTATGAAGCATTTCTACATTTACTTGAGTAAAATTTCTGGATTCTCTGCCCACTGAATGAATAACAAAAGATTCATTCAGATAGACACACACCTGCAGATTTGATTAACGCTTCATAAGCTTTTTTTCATTGAAAGAAACTGATTTGGAAATTTTAATTAATTCATTCATTCATTCTATTTTATTTAAAATTTTCTACCTGATTTTATATGTTGATATTTGAATTGTTTAAGTTTCCGTCTATAAAATACCAAAACGTCCACATAAATGTATATTTTAGTCCATCGGATGTGATTTCTAAATATTAAATAATAATTCAGTGTTGCAATAGACGTTTTGGCAGCGACTTTTCACTTTTACTTGAGTACAATTTATGGGAACTCTGCCCAACTCTGACATCAGTCCAGCATTGTCACTTCGCCCTGTCCTTCCCCTGCAGGTGGAGGCCATAGAGAAGCGATGTCTGGAGCTGTTTGATAGAGACTACAAGTACAGCATCATCTCCAACTCCAGCGGCGAGGTCTGCGGCCACTACCCCCGCCAGATCGTTTTTCTGGAGTACGAGTCCACGGAGGTGGACAGAGACAGAGACAGGTGCGTCCCAGTCAGAGAGCAGTCGGCGTCTCTGAGGCAGAGGGAGGAAGTGACGGCTGTGTAACGTGACTTCACCCTGCTGCAGAAACAGGAAACGTGCAGTGATTCAACAGATCCTCCTGTCGCACCGCGGGCAGTGCGACGGTGCCTCACTGTTTGGGAAATATAATATGTCAAACGTGTCTTCTTGTTTATTGTGAATTTAGTGTTTACCACTCTGCATTTAGAAATCCTTTTTTTTTTTTTTCTCTGCTCCTTCCTAAATCACAGAAACAGCTCAGTGCTCTCTGACACTTCTACACTTGATGTCTTAGAAACCAGATGTCTTTTTTTACATTTTACTTTTTCAGTGTGCTGATTATAGAAATATTCAGAATTTCCTCTGGTTTCAGTCCAGGTGTTGTTTGGTCAGGGTTTGTGTCATGACTTCTTTGTGGCTGTTGCTGTATTTGGGTCTGATTGGTTCTGTTCCAGAAAAAGCTTCACTTTTCTGCCGAGCCTCAGACAAAGTGGGAGCCCCTAAAAATGTAGGTTATTAAGTTATGCCACCCCCTGCTCTTGCTGACCACCAGCTTGGACACACACTGCTGTGGGACGCTGCAGCCCAAATTGATTTAAGTTCAGTTGAGTCCAGCTACCGTCACAGATTTATGACACATGATGAGCCTTTTCCACTTACTGACAGACTGAGCAGATTTTGGTGTGTGTGTGTGTGTGTGTGTGTGTGTGTGTGTGTGTGTGTGGTGTGTGTGTGTGTGTGTGTGTAGGTTTGAGAGCACGGTGCAGATCAGCAAGCTGCAGGACCTGGTTAGCAGAAGTAAAATGGCTCGCTGCAGAGGGAGGTTCGTCTGCCCCGTCATCCTTTACAACGGAAAGGTGAGTCTGTCTGTCCATCCATCAGTCCTGAAATACTGAATATGACATACGCTGGGCTTTTCAGGTCAAAAAGCTTTTTTTTTTTTTTTTTTACCAACTAGTCTCAAGGAAAAGACAAGCTGGCCTGTTGCTAGGCAGAGTAGCTGTTTGCTCATGCGTTCATTCTGACTTCTTCTCCGTTTGCAGTTCTTCTTCCACTCTGGTATAGGTTATGGACATTGTTTCTGAATATTTCTTCACTGTTCTCTTGCTGAAAACGTTTTTTTTTTTCCAAGCAAAAAAGTCTGCAGCTCGTTAGAGTTCAGCCCCAATTCCTCTGATACCCCCTAAAAAATAAAAATCAGCTGTGGTCCAGATCTGTTGTCGTCTGATCAGGTCTGCTTTCCTCCCTGCAGCACATTTGCCGCTCAGCCACCCTGGCAGGTTGGGGGGAGCTGTATGGGCGGACGGGCTACAACTACATCTTCTCAGGTGAAAAAAACCAAGAACAACATTTTTTAAAAATGCAGCTTTTTCACACTCATAACTCAAAAGGGGAAGTTCTGCAGACAGACAGTCGGTTCAGATTTCAGCTGTGAATAGGAGAAGCTGCTCCTCCATGTTTTAACCACTGAAAGCCGCTTCAATAAGTTCTTCTGCTGTTTCAAGAGAAATCTTGCAGACTTTTGCTAACTAGCCTTTAGCCTTTTAGCATCCAACCCTTCCTGGTGTGTGTCCACAGGGGGCAGCGACGACACCTGGACCGAGCCAGAGGAGGTTCCCGAGGACGACCCGGCAGTCAGGTGACGACAGCAGCTTATCGTCTGACCTCAGTCTGACCTCAGTCTGACCTCAGTGAGGGGCTCTCTCAGGTTCGCTTCATGAACTGCTGCCGTTTCTCCTGCTCCTCAGGAACGGCGAGTCCCAGCTCTTTGACAAAGTTCGAGGTCACGACATCAAGCTGCTTCGCTACCTCTCGGTTCGCTACATCTGTGACCTCATGGTAGAGAACAAGAAGGTCAAGTTCGGCCTAAAGTAAGCCGCTCTCCTCAATAACTCCGTCGCATCGTTTCACTTTCTATGTCCAGCGCATGTTTTCTTTTTGACCAGCCGTCAATGTCATCTTTTACCTCATGATTTGCATCGGAGCGTGTTCCCAGTTCCAGGAATTGTTGTCACTGACATCTTCCGTTGTCGTTGTCTTGGCAGTGTGACGTCTTCTGAGAAGGTGGACAAGGCGCAGCGCTACGCCGACTTCACCCTGCTCTCTGTGCCTTACCCAGGTGGAGAAAGTAGTCAGGATTCTGCCTTCGACAGCTGAAATTTCCACCTGTTGCTCAATTTCTTCCCGTTGGGATTTGACCCATTACTCATGTCAATAAGAGTCGTTCAATAAATGAGGTCATCGTAAAGATAATTTCTTCCAGTAACTCCACTAGGCCTGTCACAATAAGCAATAAATCATTTAATTGCATGATTAATTAAAATGTTTAAATTAATTTTATTTTTATTTGTTTTTCCTTTCTACCAAAAACTGGGTAGCAAAAGTCTTCTTTCTCAAATCGTACTTTTTCTTTTGATGGATAATTTTGTTTGCAGATACTTTATAATTAATTTTATTTATTTATTTTGGCTATTTATGTCTTCCAGGTCCAGTTGTTTAAATGTTCATTAGAACTTTGTTAATCTTTGAGAATGCGTTCTTGCATTATTCTTATGCCATTATATTACTTGGAAAAAGATCTCAGATCAACAATATTATCGTTTATCGCAATAACTTCTGGGACAATTTATTGTCCAGAAAAATGTATTGTGTCAGGTCTAAACTCCCAACATACGACCAGGTCACTCCCACAGATTGTCTTCTAGTCTTTTATTTGAGGTAACTACGATTTTCTGCTTTCAGCCAATGAAAGTGCCACATTCAGGGTCAGATTAATACATCAGACCAATAAGAATTGTGCTTATTAATTTGTTAAAGGGGGACGGAGCTTTGGGAGTAAAAGTCTTTCTCGTTCTTTTCAGGCTGCGAGTTTTTCAAGGACTACAAAGACAGAGACTACACGGCGGAGGGCCTGGTGTTCAACTGGAATCAGGTACCGGTTCTGCTTCTTCCCCGGCCCGGCGTGTGCTTAGGACGGGTGGTGATGTGTGTGTCTGTGTGTCTCCGTTGCCAGGACTTCGTGGACGCTCCCCTGACCATCCCCGCGCGCTTCACTCAGAACCTGAACATCGACTGGACTCGGTACCAGGTCGGCTCTCCTCGGCACTCTGCTTTCTTTTTCCGTTTCTCCTCTGCTCTTGGGGTTGGAGGTGTTTTACTGCCATCTAGTGGCAAAACTGGGAAGGGTCTCACTCTGCAGCCTTTCCAACTCCACAACTCGATCTCAAATGAAAATGTATTTGTGTTTGATTCAAAACAAAAAAATGAAGTTAGACTCACAAATGTAATACAAACAGAAGGATAGATTCTGTTTTTTGTTTTTCAAAATGAATAAGTAGCTTGTTGTTAGCTTTGATATCAACTGTTAATCACTATTCGTAAAATTGTCTAAATGTAAAACAAACACAAAATTCAGCTTCCCAGAAATGAAGAATAGACCAATAAAATGTTCTCTTTTTCTAGATTTGTTTAGTTTTGACCAAAGTTGGGTAATTGCATGAAATAATTCAGTTTAGTTTTTGTCTATCTGAAAAGAAAATTTAATATTACACCTTCAAGTTTCTTTATATTGATAATAAAGGCTGATGGCTGTGGGCAGGAAGAATCCCCAGTAGCAGTCTGTATTACAGCTGTTCTGAGGCAGCCTCTGACAGACAACACCGTGTTGTTGCGTGCCAGTGCCATGAACTTTTTTTAAAGCTGTACCCTAGAGTAGCAGAAGGGGCGCGGAGACCATTGTTTTCATGCTTTGATGTGTCTGTGTGTGCATGGATGGATCCAGTCGTGGGACCTGGTGGAGCAGACCCAGAACTACCTGAAGCTGCTCCTCCACATCATCAACAGCGATGGTAAGGGAGCCGGTGGTCGGGTCAGGACCGGCTGCGCTCGCATCCGCTCGTAACCTCGCTCCGGGTCATTCCCACAGCGCTGGCCGATTCCGGTTCACGACGCTGGAAATGTCGTGAAATGGTTCACGACATTTCAGTTCATTTCCAAACAATCCCAGTAATCCCCAGTAATCCAGTTTATTATTCAAATCACCTCAACTTTTCGATCAAAGGGAAACCCAGTAGGGCGTTCAGTAAATGACGGCAGCGTCTGGCGACAGCAGGCAGTCGTTCTGGGCGATGACGGCTACGGTGGTAGAAGTTCGATTCCGCTCCGTCTGTCTCTGACGTTGTGTCCCTTGGGCAAGACGTTTCACCTGTTTTGCCTGCTGCTGGTGGTCAGAGGGCCCAACAGGTGGCGCCGCTGCATGGCCGCCTGGCCTGTCATACAGCTCCACGGTGACATCTCTTGCTGTTAGCGAGTCGACCTCTCGTCTGCTGAGCCGTGTCCCGGCGCCCATTCTTTCTGAAGCGTGACTATCGGGTCATTGAGGTTCTGGTGACCATCGCTACCATTCTGCACACATGGCGACTCAGCTGACTATACGACCAAAAGGAGCCGCTTCCTGTCAGAGGAGGAAGCTGATCAGTTTTACACTCTGGAGGACGCGCTAACCTCCTTGTGTTGACAGTGTTCCAGATGGCTCGAGTTTGTCCTCGTTTCTTGTCCTAGAGGCTCGTCCCTGAAGGGTGTTTTGTGTTTCAGATGACAGCGGACTGCTGGTGCACTGCATATCAGGCTGGGACCGAACACCGCTGTTTGTTTCCCTCCTCAGACTCTCCCTGTGGGCAGTAAGTCCTCTCTCCTCTCCTCTACTCTACTCCGTTCTCAAGACAATCCGATTCGGTCAACAATTAGCATGACGTTGAGACTTCCTGTTGTCTTCACAGGATGGCGCCGTGCACGCTAACCTGGAGCCTGCTGAGATCCTCTACCTGACCATTGCTTATGACTGGTTTCTCTTTGGGTAAACCGATCCCTTCATCTGCACCAGCCGCATAGCGTAGCAGCAGCACAAGCTAGCAGCTGGGTGGTGCCTCAGCCAATCAGAACATAACTGAGAGAAAACACAGTTAACAGTTGAAATAGCAGCAATTAATACAAATTGGAGAGTAGTAGAAGAAGAAAGCGAGGAGGTGAGGTTGTTCTGGCTAATATGTTAGCATGAGTTACCCATTGATGGCTGCTGTTTGTGTCTTCTATTTCTCCAGTCACATGCTGCCAGATCGCCTCTCCAAAGGGGAAGAGGTATTCCCGCTCCACACCTCTGCATTCGGGAGTTTCTTTCCGTTTCTAACGCAAAATATTTCTCTCCCTCAGATTTTCTTTTTTTGCTTCAATTTTTTGAAGCACATTGTCTCAGAGAAGTTCTCTGCTGTCAGGAAACAGAGGTGACGCTCACTTTCTTCTCTCTCTCTCTCTCTGTTTCTCGGCGTCCAAAATCCGGCGTCACTTTGACACATTTCTGTTGATCTGTGACACTTTTCAGGAGGAAAAATTCCCACTTCAAAGACAATGACTTCACTGTGGAGGACCTCTGCCAGCTGAGTACGTCCACCTGCCACTAGAGACAGAAAGGAGTCCTTAGTTATGCGACTGCTGAAGGAACCGTCTTTTTTTTTCCCCATTTAAAACTTGCATTGTTTTGAACAAATAACATTACAAAGATAGATCTTTGACGCAATAAGTAAAAAATAGTATAAAGATATTACAAAATAGGAACTGCAAACATTCAGGTTATTGGGCTTTATTCAAAGGCCTAAAGTAAAATAAACTATAAAAGTGAAATACATTTATACATAAATAAGTTAGATGTGTTGTCCCTGCACAATAAGCAGTACGAGATTAAAAGTACGGCTCTGCTTGGAGCTTTTACACACAAATGGTCAAGACTCATGAAACTGCAAAGAAGTATGAAATGGGGAAAAAATCTGTAAAATAATGGTACATTTTACTCTATGCAAACAATATTTTTCGGTTTTTCACGTTCTTGATTGTTTAAATTAAGTTTTGCAACTTGTGATGACAAATACGTTTTTTTACATGAGAGGATTTTTATTTAATTTTTTTCACTCCTTTTCTGCTTGTGGACATGCACTTTTGCTAGGATTATTATTATTAGAGTGACTATAGCTATTTCATCTGAAGAAAAGATTAAACTGCTAAAGATGCGCGATGTTGATAAATGTTCAGTATCGTCACCGTTGCACTGAGAAAGTTGTTGTTGATATTCTTTCTAAATGGATGACGTGTGTAAAATATAAAATCAAAGTTCCTGTTGGTATAGAGCATTAGCGACACTGTTGAACCTTGATGTATGAAGACTTTTGTCCGGACCTGTTCAGCTGTGAGGTCTAAAATGACGAGTTGTTCCTCCCGTGGCTCCTGTTGCCGTGGTGATGAGAGTTCCGGTTCTGCTGCTGTCCTCAGGGTCCAGGGACCGCGGCAGCATCACCAGTCTGAGCAGCGACTTCTCCCTCATCACAGAAGAGCTGGCTGGAGCCTCCTGTCCCAACGCCGACCCTGTGGACCTGTTCTCCGGCCAACCCCAGGCCTCCAGCGGGTCAGCCTCACACACACACTTGCATATTTTCATTACCCGCATTCAGGCACGATAAGTTAAAACGAGCTCAATAACTTCCATTTGCATGATTTATCATTTCTCTCTTTCATCTCTGTTTCCACTGAAACCGTCTTCAGTCTGCGCATGCTGAGCTGCTGTCTGGATGTCAATGATAGAAATGTATTTATGTTTTGCTCCCAGAAGGAAAGCGCCTGCCTCCTCTCCTCCGATGGTGTCCTGGTGTAAACAGAACCCTCTTGATGAGACTTTCTCCCATCCAGCCAGCGAGGCCAAGTCTTCCAGCTCGTCCTCCTCCAACCAATCAGACCACGGCGTCGCACGCTCCGGCAGCAGCCCATTGGCTGTCCCCACTAGAGGGTAAGTCTGGTGACGGAACTAGTTGGTTTTTAGATCCACTCTGCATCGGGGCTCTGAATTTTGCATGATCTCCTTCATTCGCTCGCCAGCAGCTGCTCTGCGCCCTGGCATCACTGTGGGGCTCAGCTCCATGCGTGGCCTGTGGGCAGAAGTCGGGCAGCTGCAAGAAAAGTGAACAGTTTCACTGCTGAAATATGCAGAGACGCGACGAGCTAAGGGACTATAGAATACGACCTGTAGACCGGAGGCCGTATTCTGCCTGGTCGCTCAGAGAAACGGCATCAGAGCATCAAGGCTGAACAGGAAGTTGGTCCCTTAAAGTCGGGGATGCTCATTTTCAAACACTCCAGTTTACTTCACTGTTCTGCTGCTCTGTGACGTCTCAGTTCACTACAGCCGCAGTCCATATTGTTTCCATCCATCTTCCCATTGGACAACTGTCTATTGAAACATGCGTTGCATAAAAACTGACTGGATGATTTAATGAATCTTCAATGCTTTCCTCTTTCGATTCTTGTCAATTCTGTTGAGAACGTGAGCGTCTCTGTCCTATGATCAACCCATGATAACTGCGTGACCTTCTGCTCGCAGATGCACTATATTGCCAAACGTTTCTGTGCCTTCACACACATAAACCTGACCGGCGTCCCACGGTCAAACCACAGGATCAAATACCTGATTGCTCCACTTCTTGCAGCTAGAACAGGTTTTGCTCTTAAAGGGACGATGTTGTGTATTTTCCACCCAGATTGTGTCATTTCATAGCGCAATCAAGTAACTGTGCTACCTTGAGTTGTTATAAAAATTCTTTAGGCATCACATATGACTTAAAAGAAATTTGACTTCACAATTCAGCTATTTGGGGTCTCTGTCTCTTTAAGAAGCTCCAACTCTTGCAAACACTCCTCCTCCAGCACGTCGTCACAACAGCGTTTCTCCATTATGCCATTTACAGCCGTTCTTAGGAGTGCTGCAGTGAGAAGTAGCTTGTATAACGAGCTCGGCAGATGCACAGTTCCACTAGATGTTTGCTAATTGCTGCTGGCTAGTCTGAAGGAGCTGAGTGGGAGAGCGTTGCAGATCCTAAACGGTACTTTGTGAGAGCAAATGTTTAGGGACTCTAAACGGTTGCCATGGGAAATTAAAGGATTTGTAAAATGTGTGAAAGTATGTTTTTGATGAAGGAATAACTTTATAACATGAAGGATAGCTAAATACGGTCCATTTGACATAATGGGAGTCTTTCCATAAGGTTGTGAGTGTATTTCTGTGGTTTTTAGACAGTTTTCCTCTGAAATGTAAATGTGAGGTCAAACTCTGATGTTGGATGACGGGCCTTGGTTCACAGTCCCTACTCCAGTTCATCCTCAAAGGTGTTCTATCTATTTGAGGTGTGGACTCTGCGCAGGCAAGCTACTCTGGACTCATAATGTTCATGTCTTGATGGATGTTTCCTTGGTCATTCCCAAACTATCCCCTAGCAGAACATGAAACTGTCCAAAACGTCTTGATGTGCTGAAGCATTAAGTCAGGGAAACATCATTCTTCTAGCACCTGCTGCTCGCTGATGTCTTCTGAACACTGTAGATCTGGGCTCATTCTGCAGTGCACCACCTTCTGACCGTGCCTCATGTTTGTGCTTGGCCTGCTCTTCTTCCCAGTCTCTTTTGCTTGCTTCCAACCCGGCTGACGGCCGGCTGATGGCCGGCCGCCTGCGGCGTGTTTAGCAGGCGGGACGCTTTACGGTCCCAGCACCATCCTGCACTCTGAACCGAACGCGAGCCGCTCATTCACTACTGTTGGTAGAAGCAGTCTAGAAGTGACTGAAACACCTGAGTTCAGTGATATGGAAGGGTGACCCAACACTTTTGGCAATACAGTGTATTATTATTTATTGGGGTCGATTCCATCGTTGGATCATGGACAGATTGTAGTGAATGTGTCTGAGTGGGCAGCTTCCTGTAGGATTTCCCGCTAGAAGAGACCAATTTTGATGTAGTTCTGTCTATTCTCACCGTTTCTCTGGATTTAGAGTTGGTGCTCAATCACTGGCCAACATTCATTACCAGCAGACAAACTTTTAATTCAAGTCAACATCAGTAACTAGGTCGTAGCTGTTGGTTTCTACTGACGATGATGCCTGGATGCAGACTTTAACCAGACTTTAACCAGTGTCCTGCTTAGCGCAGAGTGGTGCGAGACTGCTGTTTTCTTAGAGGTTTGCAGTCAACGTGTTAACATTAGCATTATAGCTAGTGATACGTTCTGTCTAACCTTTCTGGTTGTGTTGCCTTTGTGTGTCAGGTTAGCAGCAGAGTACTCCAGATCAGGCTCCTCCCTGTCCACAGAGTACGGAAGCTGGCAGATAGTTTCCGGTTGTGGCAGCATCCACGACCACGGCCACTTTTCTCAGCCGATGGCCTCGGTTTCCTCCAACTCGTCTGCTGTCACCGCTGCCTACGATTCCCCACTGCCCTTCAGCTTCCAGGACGAAGGGCCCAGTGGGCGGATGTAAGTTAAACCGGAATAGCTGAAAGTTTTGGAATGCAGTCCGTGTGAATTTCAGCTAGTGAAATTCAATTTACAATACTGCATGTCGCAGAATTTAAACATGAAATTTAAGCTACTTTTTTACATTCATCTGTCTTTCTGGGCTCCGTTTCGTCTCATTCCAGAGGGAATGTGCTTCAGTCGAAGTAGACTGGAAAACTTTTTTTTTTGTTTCATTCAAGACTTTTCATCTTTCATCCAAAAGGCTTCTTTAGTTTTAACTACTGAAGAAATAAGCTTGCATTCAGGAAACTAATGGTCAGTAGAAGGACACGTAGGACTTGTCACTGGTCCTTCCAATCAGTGTTTGGATCGTTGTTGTCAGGCAGTCCGAGCATGTTCCTAATGAAGCCAGGTGAGGCTTCCCAAGGTGTGAATTGTCTTAAAGCCACCAGGGGAGGCCAGTGGAGGCTGTAGAGTTGGTGTTAGAAATAAAGCCAAGTCGTGACCTCAGGTTTTATCTTTCTGCTTAATGTAAACCACCTGTCCAAAATGTCTCCAAATTAGTGTCCCTTGTCCTTGAGGCGTAAATGGACTACAGAGTAGTTGACCTGATGTGTTTGGTCTTCTTGGACCACCCGTATGCGTAACTGTTAAGTTTCTTTCCATCCAAACATTTCTCACTGTACCGAGGACGTCCAGAGTCTGAAATAAACTAGAATCTACACCAGCTGTTTGGGAAAACACCATGGTTACGGGTGTCAGGTTTTTAAAAGCGTATAGTCTTAACCTGCTAATGGTGCGCTCACACCAAACGGGTGTCGCGCGTCCAGCGCGTGTGGTTATCATATAAAGTCTGTGTGGAGGCACGTCGATGGTCCGCTGTGGTGCGTTTTGGACATTTGGGGTGACACAGTTTGGAGTGTTTTGACCCGTCAAAAGCATCTAATGCATAAGACAAATGGGCCCGCAACGAAAATTTTGACACATCTGATGCGCCCTGAACGTGCCTCCAAATAGACTTTGAATATAAACCAGATGCGCGAAACGGCAGGTCGAGAGTAATAATGTCAAGCAGGAGCATCAGACACCTTTGGTGTGAACGCACCATAATACCTTCTGTTATGATATATTGGATAAAATACAGGAGTGGCTGCATTTCCGTGGGTGCTGTGCTTCCCCTCTCACACCTGTTGCTGCTTTCATCGTCTGTGAGCTGAGCTGACCGCTCCTCCAGGCAGCCCCATGTGTAAAGCACTCCGGGTCGAACTCCTGAGTCTGGGGAACGTTTTCCAAGCAGGATCTCCAGGCAGTCTGATGAAGCTGGCGTCTCACCAATGACACTCGAACGCCTCACCCTTCTTCAGCCGGCAGTCTGCTCCCACTGAGCAAGGCAGCAGCCGCTCCCGTTTACAGCGTGGGCTGGATTTGTTTTAGTGGCTGAGACGGAAAGCTTCAAGGGAGTCGTTTTGTTTTTCTGAGCGTCAGCTTAAGGCAGACCTTTTAAAACCTTGTAAACTTCTATCAAACACAAGAACCAGAAATTTTTTCCACTGGTGGAAAAACCCATGGAAATGTCAAAAACTCAAAGATCAAAGGTCTGCAATTTCCAAAATGATCTCGATTGCATCTGATTGCAAAGCTTAGTGGGCTAAGCATAAATTACTTCAGCAGCTCTGGAAAATGACATCAATCCATTATATCATGTCAAACTATTTTTCTCTTAAAACTGAACTGCCAGAGCAATAAATTGTAAGAGAGACATTCTGACCTTCGTGGCAGTTGCTTCTGGGGGTCATCTACTTGACCTTCAAATGGTTTAGCATTATCCAGATGTATGCTTATTTAATTGAAAAAAATCAGAAGGCGTCAGTGCAGCTTGATTCAGTAGTGTAGAAAAGTGATCAGCGTAGTCTAATCTTTCCCTAATTCTCCACCTGAAGGAAACTAACTAAAGGGTTTTGGAAGACGGACAGGTTTTTCATACTCAGTAAATCTTCTGGACTTGAAGAACTTGGAGCTTCTCTGATGGAACAGGAGCTCAGCAGCTTGGCGATCTTCAACTTTCTTTGATTGGAAGGCTTCAGAAGTCCTCACCACAGGCTAACGGGGCATGAATACTTTCCTTGGATGAAGTGATGCTGCAGATTCAGGCTTTCCTGATGGGGGTCAGTGGGTTCACCGCCTTGGGGGACGGAAGTGGAAACCCATACTCAGAGGACGGCTGTGAATCTTCTCTCTCTCCACACTGCGGGTCTTCATTTGGACAGTTTGTCCTGATTTCTCCTTCAACTAGACAGTTTTCGCCTTTGGTCGGTCAGTTAATTTTGCTGTAACGGTTGAACAGCAACAACTCCTACGTCGTCTCCTTCAAACCTCATCATTCTTCCTGTCTGCATCTACTTGCTGTTGCTTTATTGGAACTGTGGTGTGTTTTCTTGTACTACTGGCCCAATGTTTGCCCCTCTACGCCGTCTCTTCATATGAATTTCCTTTGCCTTTACCACAGGACTGCAGTGAAGTCCTGTTTTACTTCATAATTAACTCCTCTACGTTCCAGTCAATGCATACAAACATTTATTTTAAAATCATAACATGTTTGGTTATTACGGTAACCATCGCTCAACTTGTCAGTCCTTAGACCGCCTGCAGGTTAGTGGTTAGAATTCCTTGAAAGAAAACCATTGAGGTTTATTGAGACGTTGTGGAGAAGAAAAATTATCAAGCAATTTCTTGATTGTAAAGAACGAATATACGTTTGAATAAAGACAATTTACAATGTGTTTTCAACGTTTATTTAACGTGACTCAATGTTTCTGCTGGATGGATTTGGAAATGGTTTCAAATAGTAGACATTCCTCTTTCATGCAACGTCCTTTCTGTTCCTGTCTCTGTAGTCATAACTTGGCTAGCAAACAGGGACAATAAGTTTTTTCTCCATTGTTTTTTGTTTTGTTTTTTTCTGATATCACGTTGGAAAATGCAGCACTACGCCACATAGCAGAGGATCTCTGATTGGCTGATGCTCCGCGTCAGCGGCGGAAGTTCCGATTTTCCAACTCCAGCGTTATATACGTCAAACGCTCAAACCGTGGTCGATGCACAAAACGTGACCCGCCATCGACACACATAGACATTGAATGTAAACCAAACGTGCCTGATGCTCGAAACGCATCTGGTGTGAACGCACCATTAGAACAATGACAAATGTAACTTGTGCTTAACCGCCAGCCCCAATCCACTGCTCCTGTCAAAGTCCAGACCTCGGCCTGATAAAGACGGCTGGGCTGGAAACCTCCACCAACAGTTGCAGTTCTGGGAAGAAGAGAAGGATCCAATACTTAGTCAGTGTTTGTAAGGCTGAGGTCATTGAGAGGTGGACCGTTGACAATTAGACACCAAACTTCTTTGTCTCGGTCAAATGGGACCTGCGGCGCAGCAGACCGTGAGGGCAATTTGACAGGGTGTGCTGAGAGGGGGGTGGGCCAGCTTGTTTTTTTTTTACTGTGTTGGTTTGTCTGACTCACCCTGTGGTTCTTCCTGCAGGTGCTCGCTGCGGTCAGAGCGCCAGGCCCGCCTGGAGGCGGTTCGGGAGATCTTCCTGGCCGCCTACAGCTCCACCGTGGGCCTCAGGTCCTCGGCCCCCAGCCCTTCCGGTGCCATCTCCGGCCTGCTGGAGCAGTTTGCCCGCGGGGTCGGCCTCCGTGGCAGCAACACCATCGTTTGAACTCTTCCTCTGTGACTCCATCCCCCGACCCCTTGTAGCTTCCATGTTTCACCCCATCCTGGGGCCAGATGCATAAAAGAGTTTCATGATCAAAATGGTTGTGTTCACACACATCAAGAAGACGTGTTCGTGCACTGTTATCACTCGTAAACCGTAAGCTTCTTGAAATCGTACACGCGTCTATGATTCCATTTTTCTTTTTAAAGCAGAATTTGATCTGCTGGAGAGAACGAGATGCACAGCGACACAGCGTGGCACTTATCAGTGGTTCCTGTTTTCCCCTGCCGTGTGAACAAGCTCAAATTGGAGAGCGACGCAGAGCGTTGACCAGAGCGTTGACCAGAGCGTTGACCAGAGGTTGCGCTCCACAGTAGACCGCCATGTAGAAGAGCTGATTATTATTGTAAGATGGCAGAAAGCATCTTTAGAACTGATCCTGGTCGAAATGCAGCGTCACTTCTCCAGTCGGATGTTTGGAACGGTGATGGAGAATTATCAGCTGCTCGTTCGTCCCTTCCCAGTCTGCTGCCGCCTTCACTCCAGCAGTCTGGTAACCAATAGCAACGATCCCCGTCCAGGAGCAGCCGGAGGTTTTCGCATGTTCGTGTGAAACACATAAAGGCCACCGCTGGTCTCAAACGGTGTCTGCATCTGATGATGGTGTGAAAACATTGTTATGCATCTGGCCTCAATGACGTGCCAATCAGCTCTGCTCAGGTAATGCGCCCACATTGTATTTCCATCCTGGAGACGTTCTCGCGTTCAGGGAGAGGATTAGCTTCCTCCAGGCTGACCGACTAAAAGGGACAGTGGGAAATGGAGACGAGCCTTTAATCCTCCCAATCCCCACCCCAGTACTAAGAGTCCTGTCAGCAGAATGGTTTTACTTTTCTTTCTTGCTGCTATTGTTTCCAAAGCCAGTCCAGAGGGAAGAACTGCACTTCAGGTGGTTAGTGTAGAGAACAGCACTCTTCTGCTAGCTAGCTCTTAGTTTTTTTTGTCTCTCTTCTTTGCTGCATTCGCCCACTGATTTGGCAGATTTAAACGCAGCTCTGTTCTGCCTGTGTTGAAAAGATGAAGGTACCATTAAATGCAACGTCGTCGGCAATGGCAGACCTGGCCAGAAAAATTCAGACTTTATGGGGAGAATATTTCAGTAGAAGAACTTCAGCAGGTAGAGGAAAGTGTGTGGGGGTCATACAGAGTGTTGTTCAGCGCTCTTGAATTAAATCTTCAAGCGTGACACGACATGAGATTGCAGCCTCATCTCACGTCTCTCTCTTTTGCTTCTGTACGTTTGCGTTTGTTGGTAGAATCGGCCTCGTCCAGCATGTTCCGTGTTCAGTTGAAACACCGTTGTCCAAGTAGAAATCACTCTTATGTCAGCCAATCAGTGATCCAGTTATAAAAATCTTTTTTTTCCAGTCTCTTGTTGAGCTTGAGGAAAGGCTCTGGGTCAGTTCTAGTCGCGGTTAGAAACGGATGTCTACCAAAACAGAGTCAGTGACGCTCGATGGTTTGCTGGTTTAGCATCGTCGTGTTGTGGATGTGCTTTGTAAACCTTGTGACAGAACTTGTCTGAAGTGTTGAAACCTTGAACTCCATCACTGGACGGAGCCAAACGGGTTTATGTTTTTGGGTTTGCAAGACGCATTTCTCACCAGTCCCTCCTCTCTCTGGGATGACACAACACGCACCCCCTATGTGTCCATCGGCTTCAACATTGCGCAACTGTCCGCCATCTGTACTCCCACACATGGTGGGGACATTCCACAATGTGACAACTGGCCTCCGACCCAGGAATGCTGCCATCTGCGTCCAGGAGGGATCCTCTGAATCTGGTGATAGTCATTGTTTTGACTGGCTGCCTGGCGCTGCAGCAGCTCCCTGTAACTCTGTTACCCTCTTCAATACACCTACACATCTGCCTTTTAGCCGTTATGTGCAGATTAAATCACCGACGTCTGCATTTGTACCAAATTATGTCCAAACTGAACTGTTAAAACTGCCTTGTTTGCCATTGTGTTTAGCTTTGACGTCTCGTGTGTCACTTCACACCCAAGTTGAATGACCTTCAACCTTTTCTTTTTCATCCGGTACAGCCAGGATGAACTGACCTACACCGGTCTTGTCTTATACCTGTTTTCTTTGGTCTGTAGTTGATTTTCTCAGTATAAAATCAGTTTGATTGGATGTGTGAAGGGACTGTTCCCTGGTGGCCTTATCAAAATCTTAATAAAGCGCTAATCATGCTGGCCTCTAGTTCAGCTGCATACATATCTTCTTGAGTCTAGATTACTGTTGAGTGGCAGCCTGGAGAATTTCATCTCGAATCCAAAGGCCTTCTCAATGTGGGTTGTTGGGGCTTCCAGAATGTTCTCAACACTGTGCCTTTAAGGACGCTCTTACCAGACTGTATTTTTGGACTTTAATTAAAGTTTTTAACCCTTCTTCTATGTTTTATCTGGTTGATGTGTTGCTCAACATTGCCACAGTGTTGGTGGCTGGTATACCTCAGGACCTTTTGGTTGTGCCTCCTATTTAACCTCAGCAACGTTTCCATCCCATCGTTGCTCCTTCAGATAGAACAGCCATTCTTTCATAGTCAGCCTTGTTAACTTGCATTACTCTGTGTTGAGTCTTCCAGCCACCCAGAGGACACGGGAAGAGGTCCTCTCAGTTCGGGCTTTGAGATCAATGTAGCAGAGTAATGCTTATTTTATGGGACAAAAAAAGTTAGATAATTAACCAACCTTGGTTCGTTCAGTGATGAAAACACCGACCCGTGTTCCCGTCTGGAATCTGCTGTGAGTCTGTGTTTCTATATCCTGTCAGATGTTTGATGAATCAGTTCAGTCTGGTAAAGCAGTTTGTTTTCAAAGTAAATCTCAAACAGAACAATCAGTGTTCAGGTGGATCGAATGAATGTCTCAAAGTCAGATGAGCCGTCTCTTTGTTTCCCTGCTGGGGTCCAGCGCTGCTCATCCCCATTCCTACCATTTTTTGTCTTTTGTGGCCTCACGTTCAGATCCTGGAAGTGACGCCTATCACAGAACACCTGCCGAAACCCAAATGTTCAGAAATAGTGTTTTAATCTCAGCTGTCGATAGAAGCTCCCGATTTACCGGTCGGTGTGTTTTACTATCCCCATATGTGGTCACAACCTCTGGGCAGTGACCAAAAGAATGAGATCATGGATACAAACAACCTAATGAGTTTCCTCATTGGTCTTCTGAGGAGTGTCTGGGGCAGGGGGGGGCAACTCCAGGCTTTGAGGGCCAGCGTCCTGCAACGTCTAGATGTGAATCTACTTCAACACACTCGAGTCAAATAATGAGGTCATTGGCAGGACTCTGGAGAACGTGAGCGCCCTTGGGAGGTGACTCAGCTGTTTGATTGAAGTGTGTTGGACCAGGGAGACGTAAGCGTTGCAGGACGCTGGCTCCTCCAGGACACAGGATTGCTCACTCCTGGTCTACAGTCTGGATAAGAAGTTTTGTCTTCGGGGAGTGACTCAGTAGAGCCGCTGCTTCTCCGCGTCGAAGTGGCTCCGACGTCTGGTTAGATCGTCTCCTGGTTAGGACGCCTCTGGGTTTGGAGGAGTCCTAATCTGGAGGAGTTGGGTCACCTCCTAATCTGGACAAGACCTGATTAGGAGGACGCCTCCTGGTGAGGTGTTCCTGGCCCATCCCACCAGGAAACCCAGAGGAAGACCCACGACACTTTGGAGGGAAGATGTTCCTCTGCTGACCTGGGAGGGAAGCCTGGGTCCGTCTGCTTTGGCTTCCGACCTTGTGATCCTAATCCAGATTAAGCAGGAGCTGATGAACGAATCTCAACTGCTGTCTCCTTCAAATCATCTTGTCGTTCACTAATTGTTGGGTTTTTCTTCCCAAAGGGGTCACATAATTGTTTTAGAATTAATTTAAAGGGTTGATTGAAATGCTGCATTGCACTTGTCCTTGTTTGATCTCTGTCAGAAAATGTTTGTTTCATTGTACACATGGTGCATTTTAAGAGGTTTTCTTTAGGTTGTATATTGCTTGTAATTGTTGCCAGGTGACAGGTTATGATGAAAGCTGAGCTGCATATTCTCAATAAAGAAACCAGACAAAAGTGTTTGAGCTTCGCTTCATTTTATTTCTGCCATCATGTCGTTTTGAGAGTTTTGCTTCTGGTTATCAGCATCTAAAGTGAGGTACATTCATTACACAAGAACATCTACAGGGTAGTTTAGAGCAGTGGTTCTCAAACTTTGGGTTGGGAACCTCTCTTTGGATCATGATTATGTAAGTCTGAGATAATGAGGTCCTCTTCAGAGATAACCGAAATGCCATAATGTCACCAACTATTAGAACTGTTGTAAAAAGTAAAAACAGGAAATGAAAGTGAATAAAACCAACATGTTGGTTATTACATTGGCTGTTTCTGATTGCGTTTCACTTTTCAACGGATTTCCTGAAGATGCTTCACCAAGACTTGGAGTTGGAGTCATGTCCCTCTTCTATATTGTGACTCAGAAGTTTAAAAGCCTGAGAACCTCTGTGAGAATGTCAGATTATTCAACAAAGAGGCGAAACACCTCCAGCAGCACAGAGAGCTGGAAGGAGTTGTGAGGGTCTCTGCCGCCCTCTGGTGACGGAGGTGAGGAATGCAGCCTGCCGCCTCCCGCCTGCCTCTCCTCCCCGCTCTTCTGCCCCTCGCTGTGAATGAAAGCAGATCCTCAGGTATGCTTTCACCCACAGTTGCTCTCTTTTGGCCGCCAGCAGCATCCTCCGAGCCAGGGGACCGGAAGCGCCGGATGTGGGAGACAATTTAAAGGAAGTTTAAAGGCAGGGAAACGACGAAGCATCTCGTTATGGCGACTATAGGAGACTTCGACCCTCTGAACTCCGCTGTGCCTGCCACCAAAATCGAAGTGACCGTGTCCTGCAGGTAAGCCCTCCTCGCGCCTCCACCTGTTCGCCGGGACATTTCAGTGGGAACCAGTCCTCGCGCTCCTGCTTTCTTTTTTAAATTATTTTTAGCCCATTCGAGACTTTTCCGCTTCTTCACTGTTTATATCACGGACCCGCTCTGGTGTCCAGAACAACTCTTCTTCTTCTTCGTCCTTTTTTTTTTAGCTTCGAAAGAGAAAATTGACAATATGCTGTGGGTGTAGGAGTGCGTGGGGGCGTGGGGTGGGCTGGAACCGGCAGGCGCGTGGATTTATGCTGCTCGCTCCAGAATAGCGCGCGTCTCTGCTCTGCTCTGCTCGGCTGCTGAAACCACAACGCTGACTTTCATCACACCTGGGAGAAACCCATCCGAACCACTCCAAAGTGGGCCGGGTTCCTGCGTGTTTGAGTTCAGCACTAACAGGTTAAGTCGATGTTCTGGTTAGCAGGTTTCTACCACCACCAGGGAGAGAACCCCACTGTACACAACAGCTGTGCCCCCCTCAGTCACACAATATAGGAAGGTGGTCAAATGTTTTAATATTCTAGGATTATTAGATTTAAAAAAGAAAAAGTAAGTTGAGCTGCTATAAATACGAACAGCATGGCTCTGGTTGCCACAGTTAACCTAAATTAGTTGGCGATTATTTCAATAATCGAGTCACCGCGATTCATTTGAATAATCGTTTCACCTCTGATAGGGTTTGATTAAAAAGAATCGGGAAAACAATAACAAAATAGAAAAGAGGATTTAATTATTCCTGCTCACTGTGAGGTATATTTACATCTGTCGCCAGGTGCCTGAAGGTCTGAAGCATCTTGAGCCAAACTGGATGGGCTTGAGGGTGGGATGCTCCACTGTCATCTCCTGTTATGTTGGCCAGCAGCCAAAGGCTCACTGTGCTGAGATTGGTTTCCTGCCGGTAGCCAAAGCTGACTTAACGACGACAGGCAGAGGCCTGGTGACCTCCATCAGTTTTTAAAATGTTTGTTCATCTCGTTTTCTAATGTCTAATGTAAATATTCTCGTCATCGTTTGCGTGTGACACACGAGACAAAAATAGCACGTGGAGAGGGTGCGTTCAGTGAAAATGATCAGAACTAAACTGAGGTTAAATTGTGCGTTTCCACACTAAACGGTAATTTAGTAGTTTCACTCATTCTCATGTTGACTTTTTGGCATTTTCCTATAGAATTTGAAGAGCCGGTACTGTGTAAAATTGACTTTTTTTTTATTGTTACGTCGTGTTGTAATGTTATCCCCTCATCAAAACCATAATCGGAGTGTTTCCTTTCATGCATGTTTGAGAAACCCTTTAATCTCCATGGCAATTATTCATCTGTGTGAAGATGCCTGGGTCACCCACACGGTGTCCCCGCAGCTTCTACTCAGAGCTTTCATTTTCAAGACTCCGTCTCACCGAGCAGCTCTCCCCCTCATCTCCTTCAGACTAGCCAGCAGCAATTAGCAAACACCTGGTGGGACTTAACATCAATATGGGATTTATTTCTCAGTGCAACGCTGGTAAAAATGTTCTCAAAGGGTTAATGGAGGAGCTATGTTGAGATGACTTCCTGAGGGCGGAGTTTCTGAAGTATTATAAAAGAATAATGAAACAACACGTTTGTCCTGGTGGTCATAAGGTTACAGGTCTTTTCTGTCCGACTTCAACTTTACGGTTACAAATTACAAACACGTTTGGACCAAAAACGCCTCCATGAAAGCAGACCTGATCCAACTCTTAGCCACCCTGACATCCAGTAAATAGCCGAGGCGTAATGTCTCAGTTAATCTGACACGTCCTCGGATGTGCTGCTGCCGTTCAAAGCCATTGGGAATGCAGGTTGCTTCCTTTTCTGAGCGAACAATGTGTGTGACGGAGAGGCTTGAGGTCGGATGGATTAAATGCGGGGAAATGAGATGCTGCCGAGGCTCGGGTTTATACACGTTTGTGTGCAGAAAGCGCAATCGTTAATTTGCAGGCAGGAAGGTAACCACCACTGATAGTCCAGATCTACTTAGAGTGTTTGTCATTTTTCTACAGCATCTTTGTGCCATATTGGGATAAAAATAGAAGAGAAAGCCCATCATTGTCCATCACTGATGGAAAGCTCCAGAACCAGAGGAGTGAAGCATCCTGCTCCTCTGGGTAGATTTTCAGTCGTAGTGATCTTCCTGGCTTGTAATAAATACAGCATACACTGGTTCTATTAGATCCTTTGATCAAACATCGATGTCACCATGAAAACCCAAAGCTGGTAGAAATGCATGTTTGAGTGACTTTAGCCAAACGTCTGGAGCAGAAAGCTGGAATGTTCATCATCTTGAGCGTTTCTCTGTTTGGAAGAGCTGGCTGATATTAACGTCATGGTGACATGAAGCTGCAGTTTTCTTCTGTTCAATCAAATCTAGAATGTGTTTTCTGTTTAGATTGAGATCTTACAACTCAAGCGGGAGCCACTTGAGTACAGAGGATTTGTCGTCTTGTCCTATCATGTGAATGATGAGGCTGCAGGAAAAAAAAACAGAAGTTGAAAATATCTGGCTGCTCGTTCAAACATCGGATTCTTAGTATAAATAAAAATTATTTGATTATTTTTGTAAAAACTCAAAGGTTTTTCCATTTTCATTGTTTCGTACTTGTCTGCTGCGTGGTGGCCCAGTGACAAGCAGAGGGGAGCGTCTCTCAACTTGAAAACCAGAGTTTCCCCCAGTGTATTATAAGCCTGGCGGGCCACCAGGCTTTACTTGTAAGCATCACTTATTTATTTAAGTCTTTTTAAAATGTTTCAATTTTGTAAGATTTTATAGTTGGTGTTCAGGTGTTAATCTTCCAGTCTTTCAATGGCACATAATTATCAAGTGACATTTTCAACTTTTCTGTCAACTTTAAACATTTTTGAATTCAAAAACGCGACAGGTCGCTGGATGAGTGACTGTCCAACCACCAGGGTTCGCAAGTTTTCTGGGGAAAACCTTGCAATTAACGGATGGATGAACCTTTTTTTTTATTATTTCCTATTGAAAACTATCAGCAGTTTTTGATACAGACAACAGTTTGGTTTGCACAGGCTCTACATGATGTGAAGCCGCTCTCTGAATTCTCTGTTCTTCGTCTTCAGGTGTTCATTTGTGTTGCGCAGCCCAAGTTATATTACCAAGCAGCAGAACCACATATGCTTATCTGCCAATGACTGAAGACGAAGCGACACTCTGTTGTTGCCATGCCTGCATGTTGTCAGCCCCGGTGTTTGACATGGAATACCAGCCGTGACAGATTGTCGTTCTGCTGTGTAAACACACAAATACGATTTGATCACTTGTCGGCGGCAATTTGGAGGCTTGGCCTCGCCGAGGAGCTCTGAAAAACGAGTCGGTGTGTTCCATGTGACGGGCTGGTGGAGTTATGTGTGTCAACAGCTGTTCCTGATGATGCACCAGTGTGAGTGTGGGTTAGATGCTGCAGAGTAGAAGTGGCTTTCCTTTCTGTCTTCTAGAAATGAAAAGCTCTCTGTCCTCCTCCACATCTTATTTGACACACTGCAAAAACACAAAATTGTTTTTGGTTTAGTGCAACTATTTTATTCTTGGGAGTTTGTTTTAAGAATATGAGTAAGTATTATTACTATTACTTCACTTGTAACAATACATTTTTCCTATAAGTAAAATAAGCTGCTGATGGAATCAGCACTTTCTCATCAATATGAAGGAATTATTGACTTAAAACAAGCTCCTACATCTTGCTGTAAAGTTATGAATAAGTTGATTTTGTCTTATTTTAAGCCTACTAACACATTTGCACTGGAAACTAGATTAGAAATACTTGGTAGGATTTTGTCGGTGCAGAAACCTTCACCGGTTGAGTGCGACTCTGCAGTCGGCGAAGGTTTCCGAGTGTAAAAGATTATAGAAATGAAGGAGTTTTGACTTTAAATGTCTTACTATATTCTTGCAAGCCAAACACCTAGTAACCCAAACACCGTGTCCATGCACCCCCTGACTCGGGGGCTTGTTGTTTTTACTGTGCGCTGAGCTTTATGAGGTGCGGAGCAGAAGGTATTTTGTATTTTGTCACACCACAAACCACACGCATGAATATATTCTGATCTTTTCAGATGTTCCTTTGTACTGAAAGCTGCTTCTGCCACGTTTGGTAGAGCCAGAAGTTTTTTAAAGGTATTGCAGCGCCGAGCCATTCAGTTATTTATAAACTAGCGACAGTATTTTAAAGTCTAATATTTGAACTGCCGTTATTATTTCAAGCAAAGATAACGATAACCTGATTTATAAATAAGATGATAAGAGTCTTATTTATTCAAGTGAAGGAAATATGGATTATTTCCAATATTACATCAGTTGATTGATGACAGACACTGAGTCAGAGCAGCTTGGTGATATTTACAGTAACTAGTTATTGGATTACAGTGTGTAATTGGATTTAGGTGTAATACTTTAGGGAAACTATGCGAAAAGTAAATCTGTGTACACAATATGAAGAAACCATATAATTGCTATATTTTTTCTGCTCAAAACTGGAATGGTGGCCATCATAAATTGAGACCCGCTGCCCTCGCTTTCATATGTTCTCTCTGTTCTCACTTTGATGCTTCCTGCTCTGTGTTTCTCCTGCAAGGCGACTCCTTCAGTACAAACGCACATGAGCATTTCAGATCATCACTTCATAATACTTGAGATATAATTGGAAAGAAATATTACATTCCAGACAGTTCTGCAAACAATCACTTTGGCATGCGCTGATATTATGATGATGACATGTTGGTGAAACGCGGTGAAGTACTGCAATCTCATGCTGGTGACGAGATCATGTTAGGTCATTGGCTCCTGAAGAGTATTGTCATCCATATTGTGATTTACTGTAGGTATTAACTGGTTAATTTGAGTGTTTTTCATCATTTTTAAGTGCTTTGACAGTGGGGGAATACAGGTCACAATCCTTCTGCAACAGGAAGCTTCTTCACAATCAAACACCTCTGTCATCTAAGAAGATTATTACACCAAAAAAAAAGAAAAAAGTGAATCTTCAAAGAGTTTTTCTCGTCTTTCTGAATAAAACGTGAAACCAAAAATAGAAGCAAAAAACATAAATAAATAATGGCTCATATTCTTCAGATGAAAGACATCCGTCCTAGTTGTGTGCACCCGCCATCATTCTGGGATCTCAAGAAAAGCTGCTTGTTCTCTCCTGTGGTTCGTTGTCCCCTATTTTTCATAAATGTGGGAGTTGTTGCATCACAGGGGTAGAACTATCCTCACTGGCAACTTCAAATACTAAGGCCCCAGAGAAACGCAGCAGGCAGCGTAAAGCAGTCATTAGAACATGAAGGCAGGGTGAGGATCTGATGCTGCTTGGGATCGGACTTTGAAGAACCTCTGCCATGTCGTCGGAGTCACGCGGCAAAGGGTTCAACATCTCAAGATAGCGAGCCGGGCGATTTGGAAACGTCCAATTGGAGGAAGGAAATGCCTTCGGTCTCCAGCAGGTTTTCATGAATTGACCAGAAATTTAAAACACGTTCGCCTCACCAGGCATTTTGTAAAAACGTCAACCGTGTATGAATGAAACAAAAACAAGAAGCTGTCTGTGGATTGAAGATGACTGAAGTTGATGTTCTGAAGAGTCGCAAGCAGCAGCGGATGCCACTGAGATTTGAACATCTTTTGGACGATAAACAGATTTCTGCTTTGAGATAAGTTCCTTAAGATTGATAATATTAGTGGTAATATAATGATGAATGGCGTAATAGTTTATTGATCACAGATCAATAAACTTGAGATTCTATTGAACATCTAACACTGGAAAACATTTTAAATATTGAAAATGAATAAACCAAACAACAGAAACAGATAAATATGAACAAAATCGTCTAGTTGAGACCAAATCACCAGACTGAAGACTTTAGTCATTCAGTTGTTTGTAGAAAGAGAGAGAAAAAGAAAAATGATAAATTATGTATATGAAAATTATTGAGCTCTATTTAATTTATCATGAAATTAAATGATTTACTTTATGCACCAGATCGATCAATCGATCAATTGATCAATCTATCTCAAACAACGTTTTATATACAAAACACTGATTCATTCCAATTCACTTTAGATCCCTGCAGGGCACTAATTGTTGCCCTGCGGGGCACTAGAAACTTTATCTTTACTAAGACAAGTTAAGATCAACCTGAAATTAATAAAAAAAATAATAAAATTAGTTAATACAAAAAAAGTAGCTGAAAAAGAACTGGACTGCAGTAATTCGATAGCAACCTTAAGTCAGAGCATGAAGTCTACAGTATGTTTTACAAAACCAGTGACTGTGAGGATAAAAGTGTTTCAATCTGTTTGTTCTACATCTATATAGATCATCTAGACTACTAAACTGTAATAGTTTTATTTTGTCTTGTTGCAGAAACCTTTTGGACATGGACACCTTCTCCAAGTCAGATCCAGGTAAGCTTTCCTTTGTGCCGTTCACAGTATCAGTCCTCTGGCCTCAGCTGTGTGTTACTATTTGATAAAGACAGTAAGCACAGCACATTCTGGTCCAGTGGTGCAACAGATACTCCCACTTCACTACTTACATTTGCTCAATTACATTAACGTTTTTGAAATATATTTACTTTTAGAGTATTTTTACTTTTACTTGAGTAAAAATATGTAGAAAGTCGAGTTGCTCTTACTTGAGTGCAGTTTTTGGGTACTCTCCCTACTAACTTTCTAACATCAAACTATTCACTACAGTCGTTTGATGTCAGAAACGACGAACGGCTCCAGTCGTGTGCAGGGCCGGTTCTAGATGTCTTTCTGTTGGGGGGACCAGCCCAGATGTGAGGGGGGCTTCATGTTGCGTTCACGTTGTGCTCCAGTTTATTAATTGTTCTTGTTGACCAGTGTTTTCTTCCAAAGTCCTCATGGAATTGGGATTTATTGTAACATTTCTGTGTTTTGTTTTTATTTTCCTTGCATTTTATCGTGCAAAATTATTGCTTGTCAGAAAATGTTGTGCATTTTGTTGTTGTTGTCAGGAAATGTCTGATTCCGATTCCTCTGCGTGTCTGGAACATGCGATCGTAACTCTGGATTAACTAGGAAAAGTTTTGTGTATTTGAACACCTGATGTGTTTGTTTTTATCGACCTTATCTCTGTGACCTTGAGCATTTAAAGCAACAACGCCAAATGTCTCTGAGTGAGCACAAGGCTGTGTCTCCAGGGTCAGCCGGCACGGAGTTTGAATTAAGCAGCTTCACACAGAAATAAAGGATTGCTAATCACTGGAGCTTGACAGACTTAATGACTGTTGGCCTCACGCAGCAGGAAAAACCCCCTTCAGAGGCAGCAGTGAATGGTGAACAATAGGTTAATTGAAAGAGCTGTTTGGAGAAAAAAGAACAGTGAAAGGAGGCTCAAAAAAACGACGGCGCTGTCAGGGAACGGGTTCTTCTTTACTGGGTGTTCGGAAAATTGATACGTCTTCACTTTCAAATGACCTTCAAAATATTCTCATGTTAATTTTTTGACTAGAACTTTGGTGATGCGCAACAGGTTTTTACATTTTTTTTTATGATTGCACAATTGTGCCGAACATTTTAGGCAAGGCAGGTTTTATTTTTAAATCACATTTCAGCAACAGTGGAGCTGAAAAATGCTTTTCCATAAGGGGGGGGAAAAAAGACAAAAAAAAAAAAAGCAAGCAAAAACAAAGTGGGAAAATAAAGTAAAACATTTTGAAAGACAAACTACAATTTATAATATTCCAGTTATTATTAATCAAATGAAGCTTTAAACAAACCTTCAGATGTTTGAGTTTCCGCCAGGCATGATACATGACATTTGTTTTTTTAAATGACAGGTAATTTGGGATTTAATGACTGCTGTTCACTTTCCTTTACTTTCTCTGCAATTGACCATCACAAACCAGAACATGACACCTGAGCTCCAACATCAGGACAACTTTACCCAAAAATTCATTTTAGGTCTCAATAAAACTCAAATTCACTTGAATATTTTTCACACATTAGAATAAAGAACTGGTGTTGAATAGTGGCACTTAGATTCTTTTTTTTTCCTTTGTGGATCCAGTTGGAGAAGCTCAGAACCATGTTGGAGGGTAAGCGGTGCGTTAGACGGGTCCGGGACTTCAAACAGTTGTTCCCTGCTGGGATGAGGGGGATGCTGGACTCGCTGTGGTCACGTTGCCCCCTCAACTCTTTCATGTCCCTGGGTGGGGCTCTTAGGCTGACCCAGGCGTCCAGCGAGTCTGATAATGTCACAGCTTTTACAGCGAACACATGACTGACTCTCATTTTCATTCCACAGATACAATTTACCATATATTTTATTGTTAAGTGTTAATGAACACTTAACAATATTTACGCTACCTTTTCTGAAGTGTTGAAACATCTTCACATATACATTGTAAGCGGCCAGATTATGAACTTACTTCTCCAAAACAGATTTTCATTTAACTACGTCTTCATTTTAACCTCAACTTTTCCTACTCACTGCCTAAAACGCTGGAAATCCAACTCAAATTAAATCCTCCAATGAGCTGCTTATCAGAGCTGGCTGATAACTAGCTACATTTACTCAGTTACATTTACTTGAGTATTTTTTCTACAATGCACTTTTTACTTTGACTTTTTTTTTTGGAGTAATTTTACTATGAAGTAGTTCTCTTACTTGAGTACAATTTCTGGATTTTCTACCCACTGAATGAAGAACAAACATGTTTTAACCAAAAATTCACCACACAGACACACAACTGCAGTTTTTGTTAATGTTTCAGATTCTTTTTTTTTATTGAAAGAGACTGATTTGGAAAAAAATTAGTTTGGATGATTTTGTTATTTTTGTTACTTATACAAATTATTCTCATTTTAGGACTTAAAATACCAAAATTTCATCTTAATTTATGTTATAAAATTAATATTATATGATTGTTTAATTTTAAATTAGTGATAATTTGATCAGTTACTTTTCTACTCTGACTTGAGGAATTTCTTGGACAGTACGCTGTAGTAAAAACACAAATTTCTACTCTTACTGGAATTGACTATCCACCAGTTTCTGTACAGTTTGTGCTGGTGCTCCGAGGACACAGCAGGTGGCGCTGCTGCATGGCAGCCTCTTCTATCAGACTGCCCCAGGGCAGCTATGGCTACTATCCAGTAACTTGCCACCATCAGTGTGTGAATGGGTGAATGTAGAATTTAGCGCTTTGGAGTCCTCTGGGCTTGATAAGGAGCTGAACTAGTGAAGGCCATTTACCATTTTCATAGAGTTCAGAGTTGCACTGTATCATTAAAGGGTGTCCAACTTTTGCCATGACATTACTGTCTTGCTTCTCTTTGTGAAATGGTTTTTGATTGTGACGTAACTAAATGTGAAAAGGGTTCAAGGAGCAGTGACTACACTGTTGGTAAGTCGAGGAGAAGGACTAGAAAAGGGGGACAGAACCGGGCCCGTCACTGTGGCTGGTGACAGAAGGGAGGGCAGATTCACAGAGCAAAATGTTCAAAATCCTGTGAACGTGACCGGGGAACAGAAGGAGACGGAAGGAGCAATTTGAGCTGGAAGTGCTTTCAACCTTGAGGAGCCCCGAGGAGACGCAGAACGATGCCGACAGACTTTGTGTTAGCAGCTTCCACTCTGCCGGTTAAGCCCTGTCATTTTCTTTGAGTGGTCTTTCTTCATTTGACTCGATCCTTCTTGGGCTTGATCGACTTCAGAGAAGCTGTCATCAACCAGGCCAGCAGTAGTTTGCTGCAAAATGGTTTTTAGACAGCAGGGAGGTTTGCACCAACCGCAGGAATCCCAGTTGGAGAGGAGGTGATCTTGGTAGGTTGGTGGTGGTGCCATGTCCTCTCAGCTGAATTAGTTTTATACTAAAGGATATTCTTCCATAACATTGCTGTTGCAATCTTAGCAACTCAGTTGCCATAAAGAGGATATCTTTAGAAAAATTGATACAATGATGTAATATTTACTACGTGCTGTATGATAACTTGTGGCTGAGTCAGAAAGGTTTCATAGGTGTTGCCAGGTTGGATCCGGTTCTCACTCAGCTGTGGCCAACAACTCATCTGTGCCACTATGGAGCGCAACACTTTATTTTAAAAAGTTTTTCACTGAAGACGGGAAATATTTTCTTGAAGGCCTCGATATGTTGACAGTACCTCAATCTATCAGGTTAATTTTGGGAGATCAGTGATGGGCTGATGTGACGCCAATCTTTATCTACCTCAGCAGAAGTCTCAAAACCTACCCCTGTTCTCTTCAACTCTCTTGTTAGAGAGGTTTGACTGACAGACCTGCCCTCCGGGGCATTCACAGTTAACAACAGTCACCCCACTGTTCCCAACTCAGCAACTTTCTTGCTGTATTTAGCATTTCGGACAAAAAAATTGGTATCAGCCAATATCGGTATCAGCAGGTCAGGCTTTTTAAAGATCTGTAATCGCCGATTGACCAGAAAACTGTAAGCGCAATGTTTTTGTTGAAAAGACTCTTTCACAGACCCTCCCATTTCTTCATTACCATTTACCTTTGATTTAGCTGTAGCTTGTGATGTTTTCCTGCCTGAACGTTATGACAACCTGAACTAACTGTTAAAAAAAGGACTTTATTCTTTTCTTTTCTCTCTCTTGTCAGTGGTCGTGTTGTACATTCAAGGTCTGGGTACCAAAGAGTGGAGAGAGGTGAGTCAGTTTTGTTTTCTTTTATCTTCAGATGCAATTGCAGCACACAATCCATCACAAAAAGAGCCAACCGAGTGAGTACGAGTTGTTCTATGATTCTGGTTCCACAGACTGAAAGCCCTCGTTCTCTGGTTTTAAAATCAGGACAACTAATACACGATAAGGCTGTTCGTCATTAGCACTAAGCTAATGAGAGCTAGTATTGTGGCATGTTTATTATTGTCATAGCAACTCCATAGCAAGTGCCTCCCAAGATGGCTGTCTGCTACAAAGTTCACAGAAGTGTGTCACGTGAGACCCAGTAGCTACTTAGCTCTGCTACTGAGTTGCTACCAGCAAAGTGTCAACAGGATGTTGGGGAAAATTCCCGGTTGAATAAGTTGGAAATGTTGTGTAAATAATTCAGATTACATTTAGATACAAGGAAGAAAGACTATTAGAAAATTTAAATCAAGTTTATATATTATTTTTAGATATTTTTGCCTCTTCCATATCAGGGAGGCCAGCGCCCCCTATGGACCAGCCACTACTGCAAAAAACAAACAAAAAAAAAACTAAACACTGAAATCATGAAATTCATCTCTGTTCATTGTGAGAAAATATTTTTCAGCTTCTTAAACATTACTTTTCTGTTTGTCAGTAATGTGACCCAAAACTTATTTTATTTGTAAAAAATGTTGGCATTACTTAGTGCAGAGAAAGATTATTTGGCAGAAAATCATTTTTATTTTTATAAACCCTGAGTGATGAGATGAGGATCTTCCTACAGGCCTGAATTGCCAGGATGGAGTGTGTGTGATTGAGATCTCAGATATGCTTGCGGGTGCTACTCCTGCGCCTCCTCCTTCCTCCGCCTGCTGGACTGCAGCCCTGTGCATGCAGAGCTGTCTGTTTGTGGACAGAAGGAAAACAGTCTGAGTCACTGTGGCAGGCTTATTGTCTCTGTCTCGAGGTGTGTGGGCAGGCTGAACACATTGGCAGATTTGGCTCCAGACGCTTTTTGACACAATTAAGAGCCACCAAAATTTCACACTAATGAGGAGGAAGAGAGGATTATTGCTGCGCCAACAACAAACACCGCAGGAGCTGGAACCAGTTCCATCGGCAGATTGTTTCACTTGTAACCAGGCATTTTCCCCATGTAATGCATGAAATGATCTGCCAGTGGAACTAGAATGTTTTTATTAATGTCAAGGAATTAGTTACTTAAAATAAGCTTCTATATCTTACTGAAGAGTTACTTGTACTAAGATATTTGCAATAGAATCAAGATCAAAACCCTTGAAGAGATTTTGTGTTTTTGCTGCGAACTGTTGGAAATAAATTGGTGAATGGACAGGAAGGAAAGTTAAAACAATATTAATAAGTCCCTGGTATGTGCAATGAAGGATAGACATGAACTCTTCTCAGATTTTAATGTTTAATCCCTCCCTTCAGTCATAGGAATGTATAATTGTAAAACAACATGTCCTCATACACAAGTGAAGTTGCTCCCTCACCTTCTTCAAATCAGACTAAATTGGTGTCAAACGTCTGTGCTACGTTTAGGCAACAAATGTTTTTGTTTGCGCCGCTTTAGCTTTGAAGATATCACTGAAAGTTTAAAGGTCAAAATGTCAGCCAGCAGTTTGTTTCAACTGCTTCCAAATGAACATGTTCAGATCATGTGTAATGTTATTAGTTTCAGTGCTGCGAAAATAATTAGTTCCCCTAAACATGCTAAGTGACACTCATGCCTTCTTCTTCCTCTCGCTTCATTAGCTCGTTTCACTGCAGGCCCAATCTGCGTCCACACGGAGGCACACAGCCAATCTAACCTGCTTTTTCAGCGACTTCTGGCAGGTACCTGGAAGAGAGATGTCCCGTCTCCATTTATTCTGACGTTTTGTGACCACACTGTGGATGTCACGGTGATTTCCAACTCCGTGATCCATGGGGACAGGCTCGGTTTTTCCTCTCATGTCATCTGTCGAACTGTTCTCCTTCCTTTCCAGAAGCTGCAGACGGTTCATCACCGATGCAGCAGAGTCCAGTAGAGAAAAGTCTCCCCCGACTGCCTTATGCTGCCATGTTGCGTTTGTGCTCTCAGTGCAGCACTGTCAAGTGAGCCCGGATATTCACACACATATTCATCGTGAGCAACGGGCTTTTGTTCGAAATAAACTCACTGAGAATGAAATGTTGCACGCAGACCTCTTTTCTTAAGTGTTGCATCACATTCGACTGAACATGATGCAATGTGAACAACAGTAAAAATATCAATCCCTCTGCACTATAATGACTATGGTCTTTGGACAAATCTACTCTAAACAAGAAGCTGTACAAATGCCTTCCTGAAATTATACTGATGTTGTGAACAATTTACAGAAATTCCACAATTGCTTTGGGTTTTTCAGTAAAAATCAACCAAAACTGAAATAACCGCCTAGGATTTTCCCCAAAAAAACATGTGAGGATCGTATAGGCGAACTTATAACACAAAAATGTAAATATAAATATACAGTGCTGCTGACAGGAGCACTGATCCACTCTGCAAAAACACAAAATCTGACCAAGTATTTTTGGTCTAATTTCTAGACCAAACATCTTAGTGCACTTGAAATAGGACGAAACTAACCTACAAGTGACTTTCAGCAAGATGTAGGAGCTTGTTTTAACTAAATAATTCCTGTGAGAGCCTCTCCTGGACTCAGAGGCTCACGGTCTGATTTTTGGAGGAAGCGGCCGCTGAAGTTGTCTTCCGATCGGAGCTCTGGGAGTTTCTCTGGAGCTACCGTCTGTGGTGCAGCGATGAGGTGCAAACTTTTTGCACATCATCAGAAAACTGCAATATTCAGAGGCATCGAAGAATGAGTTGTTTTTGTTGAGGCAACGTGAAACCTGAAGTCAGAGGTCATCTTTCCCGCACCCTGACATCCACAGACACACATCATGTGAGGCCACAAGAATATCATATCTTTTGGGAATAAAATGCTGTTTTTGATGATGCATGTCAGGATGCCTCCGGACTCTCACTACGACTAAAAGGTGATGGGCCTGTCGCTTCGATTAGGACTGACGTGATGCTGTTCTTGTCTCATTTCTTCTGCAGTTTGGCCGAACTGAGGTGATTGAAAACACCCTGAACCCAGACTTTGTGAGGAAGTTTGTTCTTGATTACTTCTTTGAAGAGAAACAAAACCTTCGCTTTGATGTGTAAGTGGAAATACTCCCAGAAACAACTGTGGTAAAAGCATTTATTTCTTTTGAAACAGAAACTCTCTCAATATATGTAAATCATTTTAGTTAGTTCAAAGCATAACTAGTACCAGATAAGGAGCATCTGATGAACTAAAGAAAATTTGATTGGGGATCCAAATAAACATGATGTGTTGATTATTGGGTTATTACTTTGCTCCTTTGTCACTTATTTCTATCAAATTGACCTGTTTACTTTTTTACTTTAATCCAGTCATTTCTCAGTTTATTATGTTTATTTGTTGCTTGTGTGGATCTGATCTTAGATCAGTTCCCTCGCCCACGGCGCCACTGATTCTGCTCTAAATCACAAAACGAGCTTTCCAGCACCATTAGCAATCTACACATGTGAAAAATCTGACTGAGCAGAGAAAAAGGAGAGGCTAACAGGTGAATAGCCCCGGGCGCAGTGCCTTCTATCGCCCCAGGCTTTATAAAAAACCCAAACCTGCCACCAGGCAGAGACGAAAACAGACAAATCCAGAGCGAGAAACGGGAATCTGCGTTTTCTGTGCTGTTTTTATTTGACACACGAGCAGAGCTTTCTCTGCCAGAAATGAAGAGAACCTGTTTCAAAGATGCTGCTAGTGGCTTATCCGCAGATGGAGCCTCTGGGGGGAATCGCGAGCCTCGAGAGGAGGAAATGAAGCAACATTTCTGGCAGGAAGAGAAAGACTTCAGACAGCATGATGAGCTCTAGAGGGGCTTTTCCTCTTTCCCCCTGCTGCTGATTCACAAATATGTTTTCTTAATTTACTTGAAATAACTTTTGGTGTGAGCCATGTCCAATTATTTCACAATCACTTGGGAGCTCTCTGTTGCTGTCAGTGCTGAAAAAACATTTCTGTCTAATTCACCTGGTTTTGTTGACCTGAATCTCATTATTAGACCTGCTGAAATGTTCTGTTTCATTAAACTGTAGGTACAATGTGGACATGAGGAGCTGCAATCTGTCCAAACATGTAAGTAGTTCAAAATGTTATTAATGGGAGCCACATTAATCTGAGACCTAACCTGTTATTTCTGTCTAATCTTTCCTCACTACTTCCTCTCCCTGCTGAGCAGAAGGTGAGTCACTCAGGCCTCGATTCAGACATCAGCATGGCATTGTGAAAGTGCGGAAGTGATTTTTCTTTTTTATTTCTTGCAAACCCAACTTTTAGAGGTCAGATTCCAAACAATAAATGAATCTTAATAGTTATGTCATTAATTCTGCTTCCTAAACTGTATGTTTTTTGTAACACACGGGACTTTGCTTTAGGCTCTATCTACAAATGTTAAACATACATCGACATGTTTGCAGATATTATAGACGAAGAAAAAAACTTTTAAGATATCAAAAGGAAGTGAAGGATCGTAACACCTCTACATGTCGAGGTTTACCATGGCGACCTCTCTTTGCTTCGTCCAGGACTTTCTGGGTCAGATATTCTGCACTCTTGGAGAGATCATTGGCTCCCCCGGCGGCAGACTGGAAAGGACGCTCTCGTAAGCACTGCCAACACGACCGCCGTCTTATTTGTAGCTGGTGACAGAATAAAATTCACTGTCTCACATTTTAATGTTCCTCTATTCTTTCCTCATTTGTTCATGCTTCAGTTTATGAAGCATTCTTGACAAATGGAGGAAATGTCAGACATACAGTACAGCAGCTGAGAGGCAGATTGGTTGCCAACACCTGAAGGTGTGTGCATAAGACTGACATGACAGTGATCAGTGATGAACATGAATGAGTCTTTATGAATGTTAAAAATGACATTTTAATGCAAAGTTGCACTAAAATTTTCATTAAAAGATCCTCAAAATGTCAACTTTGCATTGAAAGTGTCATTATTTACCCAATGACATGTCATGACAACAGTGATAAACATTCACAAAAACTCCTTCATATTCATACTTAGAAATTAACATTAAATTCAGCAACCAAAATGACCTGAGTATTAAATGATTGAGAGTCCTCTGCCCACCTCTGGTTAGACTTAGAAGACGTCTTTATTTCTCTCTATTTTATATTGTTACAAACATGTAACCACCCTCTGCTCTTCAGCAGTTGTTCCTTTGCTGCTTCATGCATTACTAATTGAGACTGGTTCCAGTATTGTGAGAAAAGAGGCCAGCTTGTGCTGCGGCTCCGTATTTAAAGTGCTGTAAGCCTGAAGTCCTCAGAGGACACGGCGGCCTCGTCCCAGCAGAACCGGAGCTGATTTGCTCTCTGTCCGTTTCAGCTGAGCCTGGGGTCTGGCACTGCAGATATCCTCCAGACTCAAAGCTCTGCTCCATGCCTCTCTGCAGCGTTTGACAAAAGTAATCCACTCAATAGAATCAAACACCAAATTCAACATACAGCTATTTATAGTAATTATTCAGGTTCCCTAAATTAATTACTTCTAAATGGAAGACATTTCAGCTGACTCATATGGGATTCAGCATCTTCAATGTCTTGACTGTGTCAATTCATCTGAATACAATTAATTCATACATCCTTCGCCTCAACATGTTTCTGACTTTGGTCCAGCCAGTGTTTGGACATTATCACCTGACAATAACGTGATGAAAAAGCTCCAGACTGCATAATTTGGAAGTGGTTTGACCTTTACCACAGGCAGGTTTTGTTGGAGGAGTTGGGCCACCTGCTTGCTAGAGCGATTTTGATGCGTCCAAATGCAGCGTGGCCTCGACGCGCCTCCACATAGACTGACTATAAACCAGACGCGCCTGATGCTTAAAACGCGTCTGGTGTGAACGCGCCATCTGCATTTAAAAGTGCACACTCGTCAAACTTGGAGCGTCAGAGGCGTTTTTGACACGCGTAACACGTTTGGTTTGAACGCACCATAAGACGTCAGCCCAAGCTGCTCTGCACGGCGGTGGAACATCAAAATGCACAGAGAGCTAGAAATGCATGAGTGCAAAAGATCTGCGACAGTTTTAGAGCGACACTCACCCTTTGCTGTCTTTGGGTTTCAGTCAGTAGCATTTCAATCTAAAGTTGTTTGGAGATCTAGTGGAAGTGAAGCCGTTCAGATCTGTAGACATTTTCTCTAAGGTTTCAGTGAGCGATACACTTTTGTCTATCCGCTTCTGGCTGTTCAGAGACAAGACTGCTCCCTGGAGGCATGGCCCATGCTGAGGTTTTCAATTTTACCCAGTTGTTAACGTTTTCTGGTGACGCGTGTAATACTCTGGTTCAATCCTAAGAAGCTTCCTGGAAATGACCTGTGCTCAAGGAGAGAGGTGCCGATCCGAATGAGGCAATGACTTGAAAATCTTCACTGGACAAGTTTGGAAAATCAGTCTTGATCCAGATATTTCTTTAACTCTCTTGAAACTGTTGTGTCGTCTTTATTTCTTAACTTGTTTGTTGAGCGTTCTTACGTTTATGTCGTTCTTCTTTTTTCGGTTGGGTTGTAGGGATACTTCAGCTTTTCAGTGTGACTTTATGTAGGACATTTAACACTTTTTTTTACAAAATCCTGGAACATTTCTTTTCACAGTAGACTCTAGATCTACTCCGAAACCTCGCTGACAATATCCTATCTAGGTTAAAGCTAAAGCTTTTGAGGGCTGCTCTTACTTTTAATAATAAATGACCAGCAGGATTCAGACTTAGAAACACAGAGGGAGCTGCTCAGCCTGCTTACTTGCTAAGGCCTGTTTTCTTTACGCATTAAGAAAATATCTGTAATTTCCAAACTTACTGAATTTGTTGGTTCCTGTTGGGGAACATTAATCGGTCACAAAGTAATGGGATGAAATGTGTCGCTCTCGCGAATGAAAAGTTGGAGGTGTGATGGCCTGGAAGTTCTGTTCGATGTGTGGAAGCCGAAATAAATCACGAGAGAAATCCTGACCTCGTTTTTAAACTCCTGTGAAGCATAAAGCGGGGGAGGATGGGAGAGCCGTTTAAGTCTGATGTGGAAAGAGTGATGAAGGGACAGAAGGGTTACGGCATCATTTCATGATTCGCTACATTTTACTAAAGGTATTCCTGAACAAACTTTGTCTCTTCTGAGAAGCTGGCCCTGCCCAGTCCAGTTTCTGACCTTGAATGAAGCCCGTCACCGATACTCGTGTCTGCACTAAATCCTGATCATTTGGGCGTTACTGCAAAGCGCAGACGTTCTGTTGGAAAAGGTACAGAAGCTCACTGTTATGCTGCCGTGTTTTGCATTACAGATTTATTCTGGCACGTTATTTTATTCAGACACAGGATGTGCGCTCGGCGTCAGAGAGGATCTGCTGGGTCTCACAGAGACTCGCTCCCCATGCATTTTAATGAAATTGTAAAGTGTGTGACTCTGACCTGCTTTCATTCAGAATGCTTTATTTGCTCGTGTTTAATTTCGCTGGAGTGTTTTTTTTTCTTTTTTCTTTTGATGGAGCGCTTTCTCTCCCTATTTAGGCCAAAACAGCATGAAACTAGTTTCTTCCACAGAGCTTAGCGGGGAGCCGTTTTTTCCGTCTCTTCTCATTCAGCGTGGCGGGTACGTAGATTAAGTAAATATTTAGCTTTTAAGTTACAATATATAAGTTAACATTTCTGTCAAGATGTGTCCAGGGTGGAACCAATGTTCAAGCTGTTGTTTAGGTCAGAGTAGTATTTTCCGTGACGCGCCGCTCTCGGTAAAAGCCAACGTGTTTGTTTGTTGCTCTCAGTCCGTGGTAGAAATTTTGAGTTTTGTGCTGTAAACATTTTCCAACATTGTTTGACGTGTAGCTGTACTTCTACGAGGCCCTTTGATCCGATAAAGTTTTCTGTTTGTAGTTTAAATCTGTTTCGGAAACGACTGTGGATCCTCCGGAGATGACGACGCAACGACCAACAAAATTATACACTGACCATCCTCTTCATGAAACCGTCTCGGGAAAATGGAGTCTCCAATCAGAGGCGTCTTCAAATTTGCTGCATTACAGACCTCTACAGGAGCTCTTTCTAATTGTCATGAAGTGCGGTGAAGGTGGTGAGGAGGATGCAGCGTACCCATGAAATGAAGACATTTTCCAACATGTCTGCACTCTAATTAGCAACACTAATAGATCAGAATTTCTGATGTAAAATCTAAAAATATTTGCATCGGACGCCACATTATCTGCAAAACTAAGAAGTTTAGTGTTTTCCTTTTCATTCTCCATAATGGACGGATTGTGACACTTTGGCCCAGATCACACTGCAGGCAAAAAGGGCTATAAATCAGATTGTTTGGTTTAAGCTGCTCATTTAATTGATTTTTTTTATGAGTGACATTAAGCACCAATTATTATTTTATTGCACCAATTGACAAGTGTCGTCTCAAGATACACTACAAACACAATGTCAGTTTTGCACATACATAGTGAAATCGGTTCATCCATAAAGTTCAATACGTTTCAGTTTTAAGTTAAAATTACTACAAATATTGAACAAAAAGGGTTTTCTAAAAGAGAAACTCACCAGATTGCATCATGTATTTTTCTTCTCTTTTATGACTGGAGCTGCAGTCGTGTCATTTAGGTCTGACGTTATTCGTTTACTTAACATTCCAAACTCCAAATTCCTACTTTTTCCTCTGCCTCCCATCCGTCCTCTCTGCTCCCGCTGGAGAAGATGACAACCGCTCTAACAGCATCTTTGGCTGACAGGAAAGTAGAGGTGCCGGGTTTGATTGAGTGTGGCTGCATCGGGCAGTTGTTTATTTTGCAGTGCAGGTGACGGGCGAAGACTCAAATTTGTTTTCTGCTGCCGCGCTCCTGTTTCTTGTCTCATTCGGGGAGGGAATGACAGTCTTTGAAGTAGGTTAGGCTCCAGAGACATCGTTACAGAATAAAAATGTCACGAATTTGTAGAGAGTGGAAACAGCAGAGTTACTTTTCCACAGTGAGGGATTCTGGTGAAATGTGTGTGGAGGAAAGAAAGAACATCTTTTAGAACAGGGATGTCAAAGTCAAAAACACCGAGGACCAAAAAAACAAATTTGCTACAAGCCGAGGGCCGGACTGATTCTACTTTTATTAAACTATGTTGAAATGATTGCACATAGCCTGTTGAACCAAGACCTAACACAGTGAATATTATTCAGTAATTAAATGAATGAAGCAATATTTACTTATGGATCTGTCAGTGACCTCAAGGGAAAACATTTTCAACAGGCAAACAGCAAAAAATTTAATTGTTTTGAAAAACTAAATATGTTTCGTAATGTCAAGATAAATACATAAATTAAAGTGTATGCAGTATAAACTGAAAATGCATTATTATGCTGCTCTATGATATTCATGTTCTTGTCTTTGTGTGTTTCTGAGAAACTTGATAGATTATATTCTGAGATTATAGCCAGACTTTCTCCACACAGAAGACACACAGGCAGTGATGGCAGAGTTACTTTAATCAGATTACTGATCACTCCTTGAAAAAATAACTTAGTTAGATTACTGACTACTTGATTTGGAAAGTAGCTAAGTTACATTAAAAGTAACTATTTTAGTTACTTCCAGCAGCTGCCAATAACAAC